TTAGCCTTTTCCCCAATACTTTTTTTTGTAAACACATTGAAGATATAATAATCATTTCCATAAAACCACCTTGACTCTGAGAGCAAAAGAGAATCACAAATACTGCAAAATGGATACTCAGTGATAAACTCCTCTTTAACCGGCACCTTTCAAGATGAAACTAAAGTTCTTAAAAGAAAAAATTCTACATTCCAGATTATTTTTCCTTAAGATTATTTTGTCTTGAGAGAAAAGACGAGGGGAGAGCTAGGGTGGGCATGATTGCTGTGATCTGTTTTAAAGGCTCCTCTGACAAAATGAATGTATCGGTAGCCAATTGTAGTCAGCAAAAGGGTGTGTTTAATAGACTCTTCAGGACCACTGCCCCCTGCCTGAACTGCCCTCCCCCACCCTCGGGCTGGTCTGAGGTTTCATCCCACAAATAAGCAGCAGATGAAATACTTTACAAGGTACAGCACAGTTGATGTGAAGACTAAGGAGCCTGCTCTTACTTGAAGAGTAACAGGCCTGGGACTTCCCTGCCCCATGCAGTAAAGCAGGTTTTATATACACTCCCCCCTATCTTTTTCTAACATTTTCTTATATAAATTTTTAAATATTTTACAAAAAAAGGCTTTTTCCTCCAAACATAGAAATTTGAGTGAAACATATACTCCCCACTTGTGCACTTGTTTCTTCTCTAAAATATAAATGTCATCTGATATCAAGGCTAAATGTCTTTTGACCACTGGAGATCGCTGAAGTCTGAACTGCACCATGGAGAAGGCACTTGTGTTTTCTGAGGTCTCCAGGAAGTATCTCAGTGAGCACAGAGTCGCTGGCCTCCAGAACCTGTGCCAAAGCCTCCGAGTGCCCGGTCGCTGAGGCAGCTGGGGAAAATGGTGAGTAAATGTGACTCTAAAATTAGGGAAATAATAAAAACAGCATGGACCAGTTCTTAATCTAGACTCAAACTACGGACAGAATCCAAAGTGTTCATTCATGAAGATTCAAACCTGTTTCATTCTCTCATAAATTATAAAATACAAAGGTGGCTATTTTAACAGAGCTCAAACAGTACTGGAAGGGGTCTGAGTCAGTGGACAAAAGGGCAGTCCCTCTGGGCGGGGCCCTCGCGGAAGGGCGGCCTTCCTACTGCTGGGCCAGTAGTGCTGTCCTGTTGGCCTTCATCTTCTCCAGCCGCTTGGCCAGGTGGCTGTTGGTCATCTCCATCTCCTCAATCTTGTCCAGTGCCGTTCGTAACTGCAGATAGGAAGAGCTCGGTCACCTCAAGGGGCCAGAAATGAACACGGTGCTACTTTATTTTCCACCTTCTGGGAAACGGAGCACTGCCGGCCGTGACAGCCTTGCTCCCCATCCCACCGGCTCCTTTTTCAGTCAGGAGAGGTGGTACCCAACGGTACAGAGTGTTAATCACAGAAAGGACATACAGAAGCTAGAGAAGTAGACCCGATCTAAAATGAAAGTAATAAATGTCCTTTTTTCTTATTATCTACTTGGCCAAAACACAGAAGTAAATGGCAGTCACCATGCAAGTCAAACACCAACACAGAGAAGCAAGTAAGCAACTCCGCTGCTACTGCACCGAGACCGGGCCCAGGATGGAATCCCTTACGCAGCAAAGAATTTATTTCCAAAGGATTTTCTCTGTTTAGGAATGTATTCTGCGAAGCATAATAAAGCAAGTACCTCTCGTTGTAGCTTCCTCTTTTCTGCTTTCAGTTCATCCTCAACTTTCTCCGCATTCTCAGCAGCAGTTTTATATCTCAGCACCTGCCCCTCCAGGCGGTTAATCTGTAAACACGAGAACACAGGCCCCTGAGGTTGGGTGCTAGGAGCTACCACGTTTTTTGCAGCCAAGATGGAAATACGATGTCATTACTGATTCAAAGTAATCTCACACTAACAAGTCCCTCCTCGGTGAGTCATAGGTCCTCTCAGAACCCAAGTGCTATTTATAAATCAAGATCTGTCTCCAGAGAGGATGACAGCTGTAGACTCATTACAGGGCCAATTTCCCATGTTAAGTTTTACGAGGACCACAATGTTTAAGTGCCAAAGGAACATTGCAGGAGACTCTCCAAATGTTGGGCTGTTTTTAGACTGTTTGAAATGTATAATAAGGGATTTTGTTACAGACTACAATCTTCTTGAATTCTCCTGAAATAGCTACAAGAAAGAAAATTATAGCTCCCATTTTCATTCTTACAGAAAAGAGGTGAAGGGCCTTGCTAGTTCTCTGCTGGCCTCTGCATGTCACTGTAGAGCTTTCACTGAGCTTCAATGGCAGAAGCGGCCCAGAGAGACGCACGCACTCATGGGGTGAGCCCCTCAGATGCAGGAAGCAGGTGTGATGTGAAGGGGCTTTAAGTCACTTGGTACCATAGGAAAGAAGGACTTACACTTTGCTCCAAGGTGGTTATATCTTGTTCTGCTTTTGAAAGCTTAAATTTGTATTCACTAATTTGTCTGTTGGCATCTCCTAGAACAAAAGAGAATAATGACTCGCGTTGCAGGAGTGAACGTGTGACCCGTGAGACGGTGTCGCCTCCTGCAGCACAGGAGAGGACGGTGCAGCCCGCAGCCCAGGTTCTGGAAGCTGTAAACTACGAGAAGCGCCAGCACTTGCGTTGAACAGCCTTTTAGAAGAAAGTTCCCTTCACCCCATGATGCGTGTAGGTAACTGCTTTTGGCAGGGAGCCCTGTCGGCGCAGCGGGGCCGCTGTCAACCTCACTGGCAGCCCTACGGCCCAGGGAGCCTCCGCGCCCGCAGACCGGACTCCCCGCTTCCCTACACCACCAGGTACCCTCCCTCCTTGCGCGCATCCTGCTCTTCCACCCCACAAGCCCCGTTTCCCCACCTCTGATCTAAGTCTCAGCCAGCCTTTAATGGTCCTACACCATGTCCACCTCCTTCATGACTGTTATCCACGCTCTCTTCTGTGACATTTATCATGCTTCCTTACATGATTATACAGTTAAGTGAGGAGAGGGGCCCGTCTCAGCTGCTGGAATCTACCTGTTTCTAGCCAAGTGCTTTGCACATAATGTATGCTTAATATTTACTGAAATAAGTGCTTTTCAGTAACTTGTTGCAGTCACTTATGACAGGTAGAGGATAAATCATTAGCTGTGTCTCTGACCTAAGACGCAAACCATTTAAAACAAGAAGTTTAGAAATGCTGGGGGTAAAATACTCCCTCCAGCAATCCAAATTTTAACATCACTTGGAAATGACAGGACAGGAATCATAAGACCTGCAGGAGACAAACCAAATCTACCCTACTAACTTAAGAACTTGTCTACTTTTCCATATAACCAAGGTTACAACTACCTTTAATGCAAGAGGTTTTTCTAATTGGATACTTACTGTCACCTAAAAGTCGGGAGCTTATAAATCCTTCACCCTAGAAGCCACCTCTGCCAGCGAAAGAGAACAACTCCCGTTTCTGGGCTCTGAAACTGAAGCTTCAGGATCTTGTTTTAAAATTGTTAACCTCAGCAACTTATTATCAGAATGCACTGCTTCCTTCTCTATCAAAGCATTCATTTCTCCTGTTTTCAGAACTAGAAGTCGTTGGTCTCACCCCTTTATTCCATGCATGTTTTGAGATTCTATCCCAGAACACCCTGCTTATGGCCCAGGCGACTGTCCGGAGTGGAGTCTCCAGGTTCTGTCCTGGCCTCGGTGCCACCTGCTTCATTGACCAAGCCAGGCCCAGCCCTGCCTTGAGCACTTGGTTCTCCAGCTCCACCCTGGGCAGTCTCCCTGCCTTCCATGCCTGCCTGCTCCAGGAGATTTCTCTCATCACTGCTCACCCATTCCCCTCAGTCTGCCTCGGTGTGAATTTGCTGCTCTAGGACAGACCCTTCCCAATCTGTGCCCTGCCCTCTTTCTCTGACTGTTTCAGTCACCATTCTGGCCTCCTACCCAGTCACCCAGCTCTTGTCATGTTCCTCTCTTCCTCTTCCCTCCATGCCAAATGGTATTTCTAGAACGAAACATTTATTAGGAAGTACCACCAGGGTCCTAAGTGATAGCTAGTAGAGGAAATGATACTAACCTCAACAGTTAGTAAGTTAGTTTTAATAAGCCTTGATCCAAAAAGGCTTGTCAGTGTGTCCAAACTCAGAATATTTAGATGAAAATGCCATGGAAGAACCAATATTTTGAAATAAGTTATCAGAAAAGCCATTATTCAAATTGGAAAAATAAAAGTCTCTCTTCTATGAATTATACATTATTTCACTGTATACAAATGGCTGTTAAAATCTCCTTACTGTGGAAATTACTGTGAGTACAGTAGGCATTTTACAATAATATGGGGTCAAAAGTAGAAAGGGAGAAAAACCAATAATTTAGGTAAACTGAATAGGCTTACTTTGTGGCCTTGTTTTAAATTCCATCTAATAAAGATTAATTTGGGTTAACAAGAATACTTCTGGGAAAATTCTGAAACTACTCAACATTAGTATGAGTTAGATAATTAGATATATTTGGAACTAAGATAAATTCCACGTAATTGGGAAGGGGGCTTAAAGACAGGAGGCTAAAGATGTCACAGATATGTGGGGAAGGACAGCGTCATGATGTCACTATTTGCAAAATGTTCCTGGAACTCACTTTGCCCAGGACGAGGAAGAGCACTAGCCGTCAGTCCGCTCGCCACCCTCCAGATCACACGGGCCGGTAGGAGCCTTCAGTTCCCTTACCGACCGGGACAACTCTTCTGGTCTGGCCGAGGGCTACCCGACCTTTGTACCATAGCTCCTCTTGAGAAAGGTGAGCTACAAGGCTCTAGCGGTCTGCTGGCAGCCCACCCCCGCACACGGCCCACACGCCGCTTAGCGGCGGCCCGGGCCCAGCACCTACTCTGCATTTCGATGAGCTGCAGGTCAGAGCCGTTCTGCAGTCCTGCCAGCTCGCCCGCTGGGCCGTCACTCCTGGAGCACTTCTGCCGCTCTTCCTCCAACTGCAGCTTCAGTTTTCTAATCTGAAGTGGAAGTAAAGACTCAGCAGTGAGATCCAGTCTCTCAAACGATGCCTGGCCCACTGGCCACATCTTAGAAAAGGCAGACCACCATCAGTCACTCAGAGCAATTTTCTGGAGGGCCTGCTGTAGAGACACAATGCTCAAATACTGGAGATAAGCTATGAGCAAATTATCAAAAGAAGCGAGCTCCAGGACCAGGTGTCCCAATAAAAACAGGTGTCCCATCTTTTATTATTTGGCTAGGTTTGTGGAAAAGCACATCTTTTGGGTATTTTTTGTTATTTTTTATTAAAAATGGAAAATTCCATGGGCAGTAGATGTTTCTTGTTTTAGAGTTAGGTTAAATATACAGAAATAACTGGAAATACATGTTTTAGTGTAGCTACATAATCTACCTTATTTTATCCAAAATAAAAGACATTCATAGCAGCTTATTCACACTAGCCCCAAACTAGAAACAGTCGAAACATCCATCAACAGAAGGAGAAACAAACTGGTGCGCGGATACGATGGCATCACTACTCGTACGTGCAGCTACGCGGCTGACTCTCAAAGAACATGCCGCACGAAAGAACCAGACAAGAGCGCGTGCTCTGTAATTCTAACTGTATAAAACTCCAGAAAATGCGAACTGAAGTGACAAATGGCAGACTGGCGGTTGCCTGCAGAGGGGGAGAGAGGTGGAAGAAGGAAAGTTGACGAAGGGACACAAACTTTTGTGGAGTTGTGGGTATTTTCACCATCTTGACTGGGGTGCTGGCTTCACAGATATGGCCATGGGTTCACCTGCCCCGCCACACAATTCCTATGTCGCAGTCCTAACTCCCAGTACCTCGGAGTGCGAGCTGGCGTGGAACAGTCACTGCAGACGCCCTGAGTTGAGGTGAAGTTACACTGGGATAGGGTGGGCCCCTAATCCAGTATGACAATAAAAAGAATGCGATACAAAGAGACAGATGAGGACAGAGGAGAGACAGTGTGGAGACACAGAGAGTGCTGTCTGCAAGCCAAGGGACACAAAGGTGGCCAGCAAACCACTCGAAGCTAGAAGACAAGCCTGCAACAGACTTCCGTCCACAGGCCTCGGGAGGAACCACGCTGCTGACATGGGATCTCGGGCTCCTCACCTCCAGGCTGGGAGACAGTGCATTTCTGTTGGTCGATGCCACCCCATTGGTGGTCCTTTGTACGGCAGCCCTAGGACACTAATACAAGGTGAGCATCTGCACACCGTGCAACTTACTCTATACCAATTATAACCTTAAAAAGGTGGGTTTTTTTTTAAAAAGTGGTTTTTTAAAAAATTTACAAAATAAACTAAAAAATAAAATTAAAAGGGACTTTGGGTTGGGAAAAAAAGAAGGCCCGGTTGAAGATAGGAGTCCCACGTGTGGAAAACAGGATCAGGTGAACAGAAATGAACTGCAAGCTCAGGCCTCTGGTCCACTCCCAGTTCCCAGACTGCAGACAGCTGGCCTGTTCCCTCAGGCAGAAGACCACAGGCCCTCTCTCTCCAGAACTCTGACTAGCCTAAAAAGGAGACCAACAATCCCACATTGAAGGTTCCCAAGAAAACACCCAGCCACATCAGTCTTCACTGAAACTTGGACGAGCCTCACTCATATGCTCAGAGCTGCCAACCAGCACTAGAGTACTCCACGTTTAAACTGAAGACCAAATAAATATACATAAGAGCATCTGGAAGGAAACAAACTACACAGATAGAAAAAAGAACACAAAGCAAACCAACCTGCCTATCAAATTCTCCAAGATAAGTGAAAATATCTGTATCCCTGAATTGACTGCAGAAATAGAAACTCAATAAAAAATGAGAAGATAAAGTTGAGAGTATCTTTTAGAAAGCAGAGTCAAAGAGATGGGAAAACAGGAGAGAAACAATAAGAAACCCGAGGACAAATGCCCCGCTTCCCCCATCAGAAATCAGTCATGTCTCCCCAGATGCCTACAACTCTCATCAGAGATCAAGGAAGCACCACAACCAGAGCAAGTCTCCCCCTCCCCTACAAAGGGGGTGGAGACCAAGCCTCCCCATGCTTCCTTCATCCTTCACTCCCAGCGATCAGAGGTGAGTCTGCATGCTCAGAGTCCCAGGTGGCTTCCCCAGCTGTCCTCCATCAACAGGTGTCAAGGGAAGGCCAGGCACTGGGACCGGGTCTGCCCTCCCCCACTGGAGAAAGGGTGAGTTCTGCACAGCTGCTCCCCAGACAACTCTGCCCTTTCAACCACAACATCACTATCTGCCTTGGCTCATCCAGGACTAATTTCATTGTCCCCAGCACCCCTGTCCACGTCCATCTCGAAATGCTCATTCTCGCTTTCCTGCACAAGCCCTACTCAGTCTTCATCTCCTAACCTCCCCCAGAGCCTGCATGTCTTCCACTGCGCCCTCTGCACTACCCTTCCATCCTCAGCAGACCCCTGCATCCTCAGTCTCTTCTCCGAGCCCTCCCCTTACCTAGCAGAGACCGCGCTCCCTGAGAGGCCTGCTCCCTGCAGCCGTCGGGAGTACTGGCTATCCTTTTCCCCCACAGCCTCCTGCCGCCAGGCCTGACAACGGAACAGGTGTCCTCTTGCTTTCCTTGCTGTTACCAAACTGTTCTCCCACCATCCTCTCTAAAATTCACCGTTCCTAGTCACATCTCTTCAGATTATAAATACTAGCGGCCCCCCATCACTGCCATCATCCTACTCTTTCTTCGCCATTTTACCTCCACATTCCCTGAAGGCTCTTCCTCTCTTAATTGTTGGCAAATCAAGATACATTTCAGCAGAGTATCCCTCTGACAACTGACCTCTCAGTTTCTGGAACAAGGATCTTGCCATCTGCCCCATCTCGCCCTCAGCAACTCACTCCCTTTGTCCTACTCTGCATCTCATCATTGTATAAGGGCGGCCCACCTAATTCAGTTCTGTGTCTCTTTTCTTTAACTGCTACTCTTGATCTTTCCAGCCCATTCTCTCTGGACCCAACTCTAAAAATCCTTCAGCCGCACTGGCACCTGGGATCCACTGTGCCTGATGTTTTCCTGGATGTCGCTCAGCCCTCCTTACCTTACCTACTCTACTCTCCAGGTCCATCATCGCTCTCCTGCACACACCCTCACCTCCTCTGCCCTGCTACACTCACCTGGCAAACTCTAACTCCATCCACCCCATGCCTACACCTGTGCAGCTAAATGTGACTGGAGAAACATACAATAAATGCATTCACACAGAACTCCAAACCACGTCACTGTGAAATTTCAGAACACTGGGGAGAAAAGAGACTGTGATACAAACTTCTAGAGAAGGGAAAAATGGGTCATGCACATATAAAAACCAAAAATCAAAATGTCCTTGAAATTCTCAACAGCCATACAGGAAGCTAGAAGACAATGAAGCACTTTCTTGACTTAAAAAAGATGAAGGAAAATGACTACAACGAAGAATTCTATACCCAGTCAAACTGTTAGTCTCGTAAGAGGGTAAAATGAAGACATTCTCAGTCCTGCAAAGTTAAGAAAAATTTATGGTCCACATACTCTTTTCTCATGTTCTCAGGAAGTACTGGGGGAATGTCCCAAAGTAAGAGAATAAATAAAGGAGGAGGAAGGCCTGAGACACTGCGAAAAGGGAAACCAATCTGAACCACAGGCAAAGGAAATTCTAGATGACGATGAAAACTGGTCACATCTCTGTACTGAGGGAGCGAGCCATTAAGTTCTGAACGAGATGTGTCACATGCTCCAAGAACCAAAAAGATGGAACTGAGGGAATACTTCGTGCATCTGAAAACCACTAAGGGTGGATTTAAATCACTGTTGGAGAGCCTGCAGCAAGATTAGTAATCAATACATAGGAAACCAAGCAATTGAAAAGAAAAACCACAGCACTAACTTCAAGGGAAGTAAAGAGTGCAAAGGAGATGAGAGGCCATCCTAGAAAGCTCCACGGCTCCCCTGTGAGTAGTGTTCACGGCGTCCTGACAGCGCAGACAGACTGGCACACTGCCCTTCTAGCAGGATGTGGGGATGGGAAGTGTACGTGTGTTGGGGAGGGGGGATGTGCGACAGCTACATCTTCGTCTTCCACAGAGGGGTGTGAGCACTGCTGCCTTAAACAGAAACATCGAGAAGCAACAGAAGCGTGTCATTCAGAAGCTCACAAGGGCAGTACACCCCAGAGCAATCAGCTAAAAGAACCAGGCAGGAATGGGCGGGGTGAAGGTGGAGGGGCAGGCAGGGCAGGCAGCGCCTGTCTTCATAACAAGCTGTGCTGAGCTACCTGACCGCTTACACTCAGTGTCCTGTAATTTTTCTTTAAAGAATAGGAGACAACAAAGAGGTCAAATATGAATTACCTATTTATCCTTCAAATCTTACTTGAGTAGTGATGTTTGAAACAAGCACATTTCTTTCTAGCGTACATTTCACTTTGCTAACATTTTACCATATGATTTAGTCAGTTACAATGAACATTACCTTCCAATGAGAAGAATGCCCTTACCTGTGATAGGAGCTCTTCCTTTTCTCCAGCGAGTTTTCGTAGCCTTACATCTAAAACATGAGAAAGGCTGTAACCTAAATTTGTAATGATGTAGTATATAAACAATTAAAACTAATTCCCTCAAATTCACAAACAACAACATTATCTGATAAACAGCTTACAGCTCTGAATGTCAAAAGACATGAAGGCTTTAATGGTGTAAAGGAAAACTACTTAATTGTTCAACACACATTTCCACATAACTGATATTTATCAGGGCACTAAACATAACATTGGCTCCCAAGAGCAGTGATTTTCCATTCAAAGACAAACTAAAGTACAAAGATCATCTCCTTGTCTCACAAATTAGCAAGTTTTACCAGTAGACAACTCAAATGCAAAGGGTACTCCCATAGGCTTAAGCCCTTAGCAGGAGAAAAAACAATATGGAAGAGAAGATAGGGAGCTAAGAACTGGACTGAGAGGGGATGCTGGGGCCAAGAAAACAGCACAATGATGGAAGAAGCCAAGGCCCACGAAAGCCAGCGGGGCGGGGAAGGGGACCACCTCTAAGATGTGGGCCGCCTGGAGCTCATTTGAGGCTTGGTAGCAGGATCACTAGGGCTGGCTCCTGGCCTGTGGGGAGCAAGAGCTGCTTCTTCCCAACATGCATTAAAACAGACCCCTTGGGCAGAGGGGATACCCACAGATGAGTTTTTTAAAAAGCAGCTGACACTTGGCCAGTTCTCCCCTCAACCAACCAAGGCCACAGCCAAATGTGTCAGCACCTCTGTATCGGGCGGGGGAAGCAATGAGCACCCTCTGCTTTGTCAAAGGCGCTACAAGTATGTTTCTGGAACTCTGTACTTCAGAGAATGTGCTTTTAAAGAGTTTTTTGGTTCCCCCTCCCTTACAGTACAGCCCATGCTAGGAAATCTACACATATTTGAAAATATAAAAGTCCACTGATGACACAATATCTACTTGGGCCATTCTTCTCTAGAACAGGACTCTCAGTGGAGGCAACAGATGGGCAGCTGTGTGATTTCTCAAAGGGTTAAATGTAAGAGGCTCAGACCTTAAGAAGCTCAGAAACCCTGCTCTGGAATAATACTCCTCTGATCTCTTCTCGGTCGTCTGTTTCTTGCCTTAACAAATGCAGTGGCAAAAAGCTACCGGGATAAGCAGCAGAACATAAAACCAGATGCTCCCGGAAGAAGAGACTTAACACGTACTTGGGACGGGTTTCCCGGGACGGATGTGCTGGATTATCTCTTTGCAGAAGGTTATATTTAAGTGAAAAAGCAACACATATACACACACAGTGCTTCCAACTGGGGCCTTACGGTTACACGTACTGCCTGACAGTGATCCAGACAATGGTTTCCCAGGGCCTGAAGACAGCTCACCAGACTTCTTCCCATTAGGGATCGAGAAAGGCTCAGACAGCCCTGCATTGTCTTTGTTTTCCAAGTCAGGATGTGAGCAAGCTGGAAGCCCAAGAGGACAAGCCCAGCGCTAACTGAAGTCAGCACGCAGGCAGCCGGTGTCTTACCTAGGGGCCCCTCTCCTGCTGACTCCAAGACCTGAGCGGCTTCCTGAGACACAACAGTGATGGCTCCGACCACTGGTTCATGGTGGACATCGCCGTTGGGAGTGCCATCGGGGATGATGACTAAGCCATGTTTCTGGGAGGAAGGAGAAAACCCACCATCACAAAAGATGGCCCACACGGAAGCAGCATGCTCTGTGAGGTGACCCTGTGACAACATACGCTTGCCCCAGGTAAAACCTGGTCAGAACTAGTTAGCAATATAGTTCTGCAGAGAAAGGACTTACACCTACCAAATCTCGACCGGAGAATGAACACTGTGGCTTGTATTCAAGCTAGGAAAGATGACAGGACGGAAGGAGGGAAGAACAAAGCAGTGAGGGGCTGGCGCTCCGAGCTGATGCCAACATACCTCTCCCGTCTTCATCGCCTCCTTCAGGTCAGCCAGCTCCTCTCTGAGCGTATCGCGCTCATTCCTAAGGCAGGCAATGTATTCTTTCTGTTTCTCTAGGGCCTGGTTTAGACAGGGTAGCAAGAGAAAGAATAGCACAGAAAAAGAGCAAGTGAAAGGGAGCAGAGAAGTACCAAATTCAAATTTTTAAAAAAGACAGGCATAAAGGACAGGGAAGTGTTAGCATTAAAAGCTTAGGAACAAGCAGTTAGATATGGGAGGAAATACAAAGTTACACGGATATACATCTCCAGACGGGAGGTTTAATAGAAACTGGTTAATTGTGCATAAATTTGGCAAAGCATGCTTATCACATCAGGCAAGAAAACAAATCTTTCTTTTCCAGTCAATGAAAAAAGCAAGAAAAGGAAGATGAAGACAGGAGTGATATTAAAAGTTTCCTTACTAACCTCCTAAGTATGTTTTTATTTGGTAGACCCCAAAACCCCACATTTCATGTTAAACTAAACTAGTTTATTCAAGAATATACTTGATTTGTTAAAAAATAAAAATTGGTCCTGGAAGAAAACAATTATTACATATATAAGATGTTTTAAGTAAATATTGGCCACAGTAATTGTTCTCCAAGTAGTATGGTAAAATATTCCTCAAATACTGCTTAATTAAAAAATAGCTGATCTCCCTCCAAAATTCTCAAGGATCTGTTTTTGTTAATTTAATTAAATGCAACTACGGGTCATTTAGTTTTCTGATATATCTTCGAAATGTGAAAAACAAAACACTGACAAATACAGCCCATTTATGGGAAGGAAGCCGACTATGGCTTTTGGAGGCAGGCTTTGGAGTCCTGGCACCTATGAACTCATCTATGTCTCAGTCTCCTCACTGAGAAACAGAGGGGTATGACAGCACCCATCCCAGGGGGACAGGCGTAAAGGAGGACTCAGTGTAAGACGGCAGTGAAGGCTCGGGGAAAGCCAGCCTGGCTTCCCTTTTTATTTTCCCCACCACTGCCTACATCCCACGACCGTCAGAGCTCAGGACAGCGGTGCAGAGGCAGGAAGACACGTCTGGTCAAAGCTGACAAATTGTTACTCTATGTAATAAAACACCTCAGACTTCAAAATCCACCCAAGTTAAGCAGTCTCTGCAGGTATCTGACAGCTGGGCTATTTGAAAAATCTTTTCTCTGCATATTTGCTCATATATTTAAGGTTTCCTCCCAGCATTCCCAGTAATCCAAGAAGTTAAACTACAACAGGTAACTTTCCTCTTGGTTTATAGAGTTTAGAAGGGGGCTAACTACTTAGTTACTGATTGCTGAATAGCTGGACATTTTTTTTAAATCATTATAATCCTATTTTGCAACCAAATAGGGCATAAGTAAAAAAGGGATGATAACAACTACCATCTGGATAGCTGCAGCTGTTGTAGATATATACTCTCTCTCTTATACAGTATATTTTTATATATAATTTCTCCTTTACATACCCTGTACTTGTCTTAGTCCATTTCACAGATTTGAAAACTGAGGCTCAGAAAGACTGTTTTTTACACAAAGCCACAATAAGTGGCAAAACCAGAAAATGAATCCAGTTCTTTTTGGTTCCAGAGGCCTTGCATACTTTCTATATTGTCATCCCAGGAAGGCCACAACTATGTTCCCTTCCTGTCATCCCAGGAAGGCCACAACTGTGTTCCCTTCTTGTCATTCCACTTTTGGAAAAGGAGTTCACGGGGCAAGGCCTACTCCTTACTTATCCAAACTGCACTGTGAATATCTAACTTCCTTTCAACAACTCACATTCATCCTGTGTGTCGAGAGTCTAACTGTAAATTAATAATTTGAGTTTCCAGCACCATAAGGCATTTACTCAAGCACTTCGAGCTAATATTAACACTCCATTGCATTAATAACAAATGTAACCTTAGGACAGCAAAGCCCAAGCAGTACTCTCCCATCTGTTGACAGCCCCTTTAATCTCTGGCTATTCTGGTTACTGGTATCTGCGTGCATAGTCAGGCCGTGCATCACCACGCGTAACTGGGTCAGTGACCGCTGTCACGTCACAATATGCTCTACAGAAACACCACCACTGGAGATAAAAGATCCCTTAGGAACAGACCAATGTGAAACTAGGAATTCTAGCAAATGCTAGTATGTGCCATTTGCTCCTCATCCCCATCTTACGGCAGATTTTCTCTTTACTTTAAGACTTTTTAATTTCACCTTACCATAATTATGGATGGGAAAATAAAATACATCCTGCAAGTTCTCCCATTTCACCACAAAATTTGAAGGCTACTGAAATACCTTATAATTGGACCAAATGTATTCACACTGGATCTGAAATCCTCTGTATTACCTAACCATACAATCACTACCTTTGTGTTTGTATTCAATAATTGCTCCTACGGAAGATTTTTTTTTAGGGTAAAAAGTACATGCTTGTGAAGACCTAAATAATTCTTTACCCCTGCCCTAACCTCAAATTCTAGTGTCAAGAAGCGTGAAAGGCTGAACTTTTGGGCAACAGGTTAACTGTATGTATAATTACACACAGGCACAAATATCTTTAGTTAGAATGGGAGTGAGTCTTGTGCGAGGCTATAGGGATATACAAGTCCTTCACACATACTGGTTCTACACAGGGTGACCGGGTGCCTGCAGCTACACTGGTGCTGGAGGCGTGACCGCTGGGATCAATGAAAGAAGAACCAAAGAAAACTGAACTTTAATATGAGAATAATGGCCATGTCCCTTCATGGAGTTACAAAATTTAAATCTTGATAATGAAGCTAGAGATAAGTGATGGATTAGGTAGTCACAGATCATATTTAAAGTGTGTCTTTTCACTCCTACATATAAAATAGACAAGGGCCTACCAACAAGGACCACTGTAAAGCACAGGCAACTACACTCAGTATCTTGTAATAACCTATAACGGAAAAGAATCTGAAAAAGATTATATACATATATAATTGTAAATTAATATATATAATATTAATATATATAAACTGAATCACTTTGCTGTACACCTGAAACTAACACAACATTGTAAATCAACTATATTTCAATTTTTTAAAAAAGTAATGTTGAAAAAAATTTTGTCTTTTAAAAGTCAAGGGAGGACCACCTCACACACAGTAGGATGTCTACTATCAAAAAACAAAATAAACAAACAAAACCAAAAATAGAAAAACCCAGAAAACAAGTGTTGGTAAGGATGTAGAGAAACTGGAACTCTTGTTCCACTGTGCTGGTGGAAACGTAAAATGGTGCAGCTGCTACGGAACACAGTATGACTGTTCCTCTATTAAACACAGAATTACCATACAATGGAGCAACTCCACTGCTGGTTTTATATCAAAAGAAATGAACACAGGGTCACCAAGAGATTTGCAAACCTATACTGACAGCAGCATTACTCATAATAGCAAAAAGGTAGAAGCAACCCAAGTGTCCATCAAGAGATGAATGGATAAACAAATGTGGTACATACAGACACTGGAACATCAGTCAGTCTCAAAAAGAGAAGAACTTTCTGATGTGCACTACATGTCTGAATCCTGAGAATAAATGCTAAGTGAAATAAGCCAGTTAGAAAAAGACAAATACTGTACGATTCCACTTAATGACGTACCCAGGGCAGTCAAATTCATAGAAACAGAGAGTGGGATGGTGGTTGCCAGGGGCTGTGCGAGAAGGAATTGGGGAGATGTTGTTTAATGGGTGCAGTTTCAGCTCTGCAAGATGAAGAGTTCTGTGGATGATGGTGGTGACGGTAGCATAGCAATGTGAATGGACTTAATACCACCGAACTCTACACTTAAAAATGATTGAAATGGTCAGTTTGTGTTCTTTAGAACTTTACCACAATTTTTTAAAAAAAGATTTTTTTAAGTTGAAGGAAGAACACTCTATTGATGCATGAAACAACTTGGATATAACTTCAAGGTGTTGTATACTATACGATCTCATTTATACAACATTCTTGTTTTTTAAAAAAAGTTAATCACATTCTTAAGATGACAAAATTACAGAAACAGAACAGCTTAGTGGTTGCCAGCGCTTGGGACAGGGAAGAGGAGGGAGTAGATACGGCTACAGAAGGGAATAGGAGAGACCCCTAACGGTGATGACAATGTTCTGTAGCCTGACTATGTCAAGGTCAATATCCTATTTTACAAGATGTTACATTTTGGAAAAACTGGATAAAGGGCACACAAGATCTCTTGGTATTATTTCTTACAATTGCACATGAATCTATAATGATCTGAAACATTTTTTAACAGTTCAATTAAAAGAAAAGCCAAAGAAATACATTATTATTTGCTACATAAAAAAAAATTCTTCATTTAATAATGCCAAGAAAATTTAAAAGTCAAGTAATTCATATTGTAACTATCAGCTCACCTTTTTGGTAGGAAAAATTTTTTGTTTTATTTTGAATAGCTATTTTATTGGACTGAGAGATTTAGGGGTTTTCTATGACTGGCCCAAAATAATTAGTTTAATATACTAAGACAATTATACAAAACAGAAATCAAGGACCTGCAGATCCGTAGTAAAGAAAATTATGTAAAGTTCTAAAAGAAGCTCGTTCCACACCAGATTTCAGCCTAACCTTACAAATTACCTACTTTGTGCTGTACGTTTTTGCACATCTCATTTTAAATTCCCCAAGTAAAAATATAAATGAAATCAGTCATTCACAGTCACAATTCAAAACTCTTAACAAAGCTGTAATTTATACCTCAGTAGGCTTCTCTAGTTTTAGATGGAATTTTAGAAAATAGGTATTTTAGTATCAGAAATTCTAAAAGGTAGTGTTTTTGTTTTGTTTTTTTAACTTTCTGTCTACCACACTCTTAACCAAGTAATTTTGTTTCCCAAGTGTTTACTGAGAGGATGGGGTCCTGGAGGTGTGAAAAGACCTAGATACCAGGATGCCCTACCCGAGGAGGGTGTCAGGGCTTCACATCCAGGCATGTCTGTCACAGGTGCTCTCAGGGCCTTGGGCCAGCTTTTCGTACCCCACCTAACCTCAAGCACAACAAGACTTCCTCACTGTGCCTTAGGCCAAGGATTTCCATAGCCCCCCTGACAAGGTGAGCTTCTGCAGAAGAGAGCTCACGTGCCATGAGGTAGAGGTAGCTGCCAGTCAAAAGGCCTCATGGGATGAACCGGCGGGAAGTTTTTCAGCCTCTAGTGGACTTGGGATCTTCCTGAAGGGCTGAGCAGAAAGGCACTGAAGGCTGTTTCCTTATCTAGGCCCCTGCTTTGGGGAGTTATGAGGATATAATTAGAGATGACGTCACAGTTTGGCTGCTGCGGCAAATCTTACATTCCTATCCACTTTCGTAATTAAAATGATTTTAATCTCTTCTTAGTTTATTCACCAAAGATTTATGGGATGCTAGTAACTTGTCCTCCACTGCCACTCCCTATCCTCTTGCCTCTTATCCAAATTCTTGCAATGTAAGGATATCAAATTACCCACAGAGTTTGAATTAAATGCCTGTGGCTGTTTCTGTATAAAAATCCTAGGGAAAGAAAGAACAACTTCCTTAGAAAGTTCCTAACCATGGGTTTCACAAGCCCAGAGTCAGATGGAGAGAAGAGTTCTTAGCAACATAGGATCAGGTTTTCCCATGGAAGTTTCTTTCTATCTTCTGCTTATTCATATTTCACTCCATGTAAATGCTCAAAAATAATCATGAGGACAGGTTTTTAGGAATCTCTAAGTTAACTTATATTGGTCTATTCCTCATCAGTGAACTTTAGGACAAAGCCCAATTTCATCTCATACCCTAATGTTTTTATCTTTCCAAAGCAGTGTCTCCTGGAGGTCAAACACCTCTTTTGTCACGGTGTCTATTTTCTGCTGCATACGCTGATTCTCCTGCAGAGGAAGAGGGGAAGAGAAGTAATAAAAGAGCAGAAAGAAAGAAAAAGAGGATGGCATTAGCGGGAGGAAAACAGAACAAAAATAAAGCTTATAAAGAAGCTTAAAAGGAGAAAGTCTGATGAACAGCAAAAGCAAGAGTTGCTTGTTAAAAGGAAAGCTGACGCCCAGGGTCTTGGCGGCATGGCTCTCTCACTGGCTTGCTGCGATGGAAGTGAGTTGGGGGCGCGAGGAAAAACTGTTCCCACCACAGCTATGTGGCAGCAAGCCAGCGAGGGCTCCTGTGTACATCCAGCTCCGTAAGTGCACTCCTCCTAGATAGAGTGCCTCTTCCCCAAACATGGAACAACCTACATTTCTAGGAGGGAAACTCAGACTTGCTTCTGACCAAATGATCCTTATCACAGAAAACAAGCAGTAGTTTTGAACTCTATTTTTTTAAGTGGAACTAAAATAATACAAGAGAGATGTGTCTCAGCTTAATCACTCTGAATTTCTGTTAGCACAATCTACGACAGCAGAACATCATAAATCACAAATGAACGGTCACGTTAGTTTTTAGAAAAACTAGACTTTTAGCATTTAACAGTTCTTACACAGCTCCTCTGACTAGGCAGTGATGCTCAATTTATATCCTCTTACATTTAGTACATTTTCTTTTTTGCATTATTGGTAAATTATCATCTCTTCTTTCCCTGTGACACACTCCTCATCTACTTTACCCTGCGGGTTTCAGTTCTAAAGGCCAAAAAGCATTATTTTGTCATATACAAGATTTTTCACTTATAAATAAATGTGCATATTAACATCTAAAAGATGTTAATTCTAAAAGTAAAAAACACCTAAAATTAAGGTTTTTAAAGTTTGTATACCCAGTACCCTGGGCTTTTAAATTAGAAACCATACTGACAAATTGAAAAAATTAAGCACTAAAATTCCTCTTAAATGCAATCATTGAAGACTAGAACATTTAACCAATTCTAATGTAAACTACTGAATTTGAGAAACAGCTCCCAAAGCAGTTTTATTATTCTTTTGAAATCATAAAGGGGAAAAGTATGTATCTTAATCAGAAAAAGAAGTAACAAGTGGCTGGCATAGTGACACACGGAAATACAAGAGGACAAAACGAGAGAAGGGTTCACATTATTATTAAATACCAGCAGGATACAGAGTCTGGATAATCTGCTTCTTGCCATATATGGAAAAACTAAGAACTAACTTCACATGTAATATGATATTTGCAAGAAATTATCTATGTTTGCATTTAGAATTCACAAATTCTACCTGCTTTCAGCAGACTATGTTCAATTCAATTATTCTCAAGAATGACGAAAAGTAACAGAAATCTACAAATTAAAAAATCATCATTTCTGTTCCTCTATTAAATGATTTTTAAAGTCACTTACAGGAGGAGAGAGTAAGTGAGGCAGGTTCATGGGGGAAGCAGAAAAAGAGGGAGGGAAAAGGGGTGGGGGTGGGGGTTCTGAAGGACCAGGGATGTGGAAGAGGTGAGCGTGGCAAATGAGGCGTTTCTCGGGGTCCTTAACCTTCCTGATCTCACCACAGGTCATCAGCACAGGTTAACAACAGACCTGCCTGATAACCACACCAAGACAGCGGGCTCCCTTCCCAACAACTTAACCCCATACTTATAAAAAAACAACAACCTCAAGACGAAAACCACATCTAAAGAAAAGCAGAGATGCAAGCAAGGTAGTAGGCACAAAAGGATAAATCCTTGCAAAGATTTCTCGGTAGACCAACACTGCTTCCCATGGCACTCAGCGCTTCTCCACCAGTAGAGCCTCAGCGCTGACCAGCCGTCACCTGCTGACCACTACCGGCATCTGGACAATGTCTTCTTTTCATTTAGCCATCTCAGAAACGTACCCACCTGAGTGAAGACCCAACTTCTTATTCCCTAAGAATCAAGTCCCAAAGTATAGCATTCACTACATTCCAAAGAATAATGGTACTCTGTAATTTTTCTTTTCACCCATTTCATAAGATATCTTTAGGAGAGAATGTGCTTAGGAATGAAAGACAACTACAAAACCTTCTGCTATTAAGAGAGGGAATGTTACAAGGGTCACAGTAGTAATTTTTTAAGCCTGCCTTCATGTTGCATGTCTGCACACTTTAGGATCCAGTCAAATGTGAGGAGACAAGCAAGCTGTTCGTGGCAATTTAACTCCTTTCCTTCCCAACACACACGCCTTCATCCTATTCAATGTATTTTTTTCAAAATTAAGTACTCCCACATTTCGTGTACCTACCTCAATGAGCTCATCTCTTTGTCGGAGGCCTTCTTTAAGTTCATCCATCTTATGTTGTAGCACGCTACACATATGTTTCTGCCTTTCTAACTCCTGTTATTAAACAAATAATACAGTTAACTCAGATGGCGGCACACAATAGCCTGGAACATCTATGATACAACAACAGAGAAGCTAAGCATGGACTCCAGAATCATACCTGCACTGCCAGTGCACTGGAACTTAGCTAATTCTGCATTCTACAAAAGGTCCAGAAACTCCTCAGTTTTCATCTCATAGGATTATATATTTAGAAAACCCAAACTATTCAATAGCATAGTCACCATGAATGAAGAAATGACTTAGTAAAGTAACAGGTTATAAAATTAACATACAAAATTCAATCATCTTCACAGATCAAAACAGAATCTTGAGAGAAGATATAATAAACAATATCAAAAATAAAATAAATACATACATGTAAACTTATAAGATAGACTCAAAATCTATATGAGAAAAATGATATAAAATATTCTTGGAACACAGAGAAGTAGGACTGAACAAATGGAAAGGCCTATCATCTTCTTGGATAAAAAGACTTAACATCCTAAAAATGTCAGTTCTCCCCTATATTAATCTACACATCTAATGCAGTCCAAATAAAAATACCATCAGGCTTTTTTCTTATCGGAGCAAGACAAGCTGATTATAAAGTTTATTTGGAAGAAAAACATAAGAAAAAATAGCTAGGAAAAAACACGATGAAAAAGAAGAAAATTAACCTTACTAGGTATTGAAACATATTATAAAGCCTATATAATTAAGTGTTGAAATGGCTCATGAATACAGACCAATGGAGTCAATTAGAAAATCCATAAATAGACCCAACTACATACACAAATATATTAAACAACAACAAAACAAAAAAAGCTCCTCAAATCAATGAGAAAAGATAGACTTTTAAATTAGTGATGCTGGCATAACTGGATATCCACATGGAAGAAGCAAACTGGATGCACACTTCATATCACACACCAGGACAAGTACACAGAAAGGAGAGAGAGACAGAGAAGGAAGAAAACAGTTACCAGAGAAAAGATGAGTGAGCTGCTGTAACCAACAAGTGGGAAAACCATTACTAAAAAATGACTCAAAAATCTACCAACAGAAGGGGAATGCATAACAAATTAGACTACACAAAATTTAAAACTTTTGAATGGTAAAAAACACTGTAAGCAAAGTAAAAAAAAATGATTACAAAAAATGTTTTTAAATTTATATCAGAGACAAAAAAGTTACCATCTTTCCATAGAGAGAGCCTCTAAAATTAGAAATAAAGAAAAAAAAAGAACCCACAATTGTATAGAAAAATAGGCTACAGACATGGAAAGAAACAAATTGCTCTGAATATGAAAAGATACCCAGACCAAGAGAAATGTAAATGAAAACTATATTTCTCACTAAAACACTAGTAAAGGCCAAAAACTTGACAACATATTCAAGGGACAGTAGTATGGAGAAGGAAACGGGCCTTCTCATACAATTTAGTGGGAACGCAAAATTGTTTAACTCCTACAAAGGAGAATTCATTATATCTAGCAAACCCACTTTTATGACCTCCACAGATATCAGCAAAATTAAAAAAAGACCTACACAGTACACTGTTTTTGTAGGGCTATTTTTAACAGCAAAAGAATGTAAACAACTCCAGTGTCCATTAATAGGGAACCGGTGGGATAAACTGCAGTACATCCACACAGTGGAATAACTATACAGTGATAAAAAAGAATGAGGAAGAGCTTGCTACACTACAATCATAAGGTGATAAAATCAAGATGCAGAACAGTATTTATCATATGTTACCATTTTCTAAGAAAGGAGGAAAATAAATACATATATTTGTATACATTTTTGACAGGCAAAAAAACGTTTTAAGATTAAAAAAATAGAAGGATAAACCATTTAGTTAAAAAAAATTCCTTAAGGAAGGAGGAAACGGGTGAAGAGAAAGAGACAAAAGATTTACTCCTTTAAATATATTTTCCTTATTGATTTGACTTCAGGTCAGTGTAAATAATTCACATAATTGTAAAACAAAAGTAAATTTAAGAGCAACTCACTGTGGAAGCAACCCAAGTGTCCATCGACAGGTGAAAGGACAAACAAAATGTGGTACATAAATACAGTGGAATGTTATTTAGGAAGGAATTCTTGTCACAGGCTACAACATAGATGAACCTTGAGGACATTATGCTAAGGGAAATAAGCCAGTCACAAAAAGACCAATATTATATGATTCTACTTAACTGAGGCTAGAATGGTCAAACTCACAGAGCAGAATGTTGGTTGCCAGGAGACGGGAGGAGGAGGAAAAGGGGAGTTGTTTAATGGGTACAAAGTTTCAGCTTTGCAAGATGAAAAAGTTCTGGAGATGTGTTTATAAAAATAATTTTATAAAAATCTTAAAAGCAACTACTAAATATTGAAAATAAAATGTAATGAATCTAACTCTCTCTCTCTCTCTCTCTCTCTATATATATATATATATCCAGTTAGTAGCATAAGCACAGAGAAACTATTTCAAGTAACTTTAAAAACAATGGTTGGACTATACATAGCCTAGTGGCAAAATAACAACCAAACAGAAAAAAAAACAAAAAAACTTTTAACTATTTTCAGTAATTATACCATTCGTGGTAATGTTGGCATTGCTATTCCGGGTATTGTGGGATAAAGCAATGAAAATAGAATGTAACATAATTACTACCATCCCTAGCGACTTTATGGACTGGGAATGGCGGTGTGGGAAAAAGGAGATACACATATATAAGACAGAAGAGCTTAAGTAAAAACCCTACATCCTGAATACAACCTACAACTATAAGCATAAACTCAAAACGTATTTTGACTTTAAAAACAAAAAAATACCCCATATACATATTTCCCTGATATATTCACTAAAAAGGCCTATGAACAGTTACCACCTTGGGGGCAAGTGCACCCTTAGCACACACACTGCTCCACTAAAAGAGAACCAGGGCTCCCTGGACAAACAGCTGATTCCAAGTCTAGAGCAGGAAATGTACTGGATGAGCTGGCAACACTTTCTTATGCTAGAGAGCAAAGAAGCTATCACAACCCAAGAGACTCATGTCAAAATTACTTGGGAATCAACCTGAAGTAGTTCACATTGAAGGTGAGATGACTTGAAAATCAATATGAATAAAAGCTACAATAGATTGAAATGATCAAATGCTTGAATTCTTGCATTATTTAAAAGTAATGATAATAGGGGGAGGGTATAGCTCAAGTGGCAGAGTGCAAGCTTAGCATGCACAGGGTTCAGGATTCAGTCCCCAGTACTGCCTCTATAAATAAACAACTAAACTTAACCCCCCCATTTTTTTAAATAATAAAAAATACATAATAATAATCGGTCACTGAGAGGATGCTAAACAGTCACTTTCTTATTCTGAAAAATCTGTAAAACAAAGGAAAAGAATCAAGCTTTTATTGTGCCTTTCCTATATAGACTGTCTCATCTGAGTAATAAGAGACAAGGGGAAGTTCCTCTTTAAATGAGGATTTACACTAATAAATAAAGCACAGGAAAGTGAAAAGACAACTCATGCAATGGGAGAAAATTTTTGCCAACCATGTATCCAATAAGGAACTTGTATCTAGAATATACAAACTCTAGCAATGCAATAACAAAAAGGACAATCCAATTTAAAAATGGGCAAAGTATCTGAACAGACATTTCTCCGAGGAAGATGGATAAATAGTCAGAAGGCATATCACAATATACTTGGAATCATTAGTCATCAGGGAAATGCTAATCAAAAGCATACCTGCTAGGATGACTAGGGAAAACACTCAGATAATAACAAGTATTGGTGAAGATGTGGAGAAATCAGAACTTGCATACACCGCTAAAGGGAATGTAAAATGGTGCAGCCACTTTGGAAAAGGGTCTGGTTACTCCTCAAATGGTTAAACACAGAGTTGCCGTATGACCCAGCAATTCCACTCCTAGGTGTATATTTAAGAGAAAGAAAAACTTATGTTCACACAAAAACTTACACACAAATGTTTACAGCAGCATTATTCACACAGATAAAAAGTGGAAAAACATCAAATGTCCATCAGTATACAAATGGATAAAAAAAAAATGTGGCATACCTATACAATGGAGTATCATTAGCCCATAAATAGGAGTGAAGTACTGATACATGCTGCAACACAGAGGAACCCTGAAACTGTTAACTGAAGTGAAAGAAGTCAACCTTCAAAGACTACGTATTATACAATTCCACTGACGTGAAAGTCTAGAAAAGGGAAATCTACACAGACAGAAAGTAGATTAGTGGTTATTTATGGCTGAGGGGAGCAAGACGTAGGGAGATGATAGCTAAAGGGCACGGGGTTTCTTGCTGATGTGATGAAATAAATACTCCAAAACTGACTGTGGTGACAGTTGCACATGTCTATGAGCATACAAAAACCCTACTGAACTGTACACTTAAAAGGGAAGAATTATATGGTATGTGAATTATATCTCAATAGTGCTGTTTTAAAACAATAAAAGAAAGCAATAATGATAAAATTAGAATATATCATTTTGTAATCCTTAATCAACTAACGCATTTAAGCCTCCAGCTACAAAGAGAGATGCCATACACCTGGGCTTCAGAAGGAAAAGAACCTATGAAGTGGACTAAAACCATATTTCATAAATCCTCTAAACCTAACTATTTATAGGAAATACAGAGAAAAAGGGAATATCTTAAAGACACCATGGTGATGAAATAGCAAAATCCCTAAGACTATCAGAAACCATTAAGACAAGCAATCCAGTTTCTTCAACACATAAATTGCAAGGGAGAAAAAGAGATGAAAGGAAATTAAATAAAAAGAGATTAATAAGACATGACAACTAATTCCAATGTATGGAACTTAAATAGATCCTGACTGTTTTTTCTTTTTAACTGCAAAAAAGAAGTCATTTACAACATTTGAGACAAATGAAATTTTAACAATGACAGGTTATGTAGTAAGAAGAAGTTATTCTTAATTTTTCAGATGTGAAATAGTCTTGTGTTGTATTTTTAAAAAGAGAAAGTTCATACCATTTAGAGAGCCATACCTAAATTCATATTAAAATATGGGATATTTAGGACTTGTTTCAAATAATGTGAGTGGGGGAAGCACATGAAAATATGCTCAGTATCACTAATTATCAGAGAAATGTATATCAAAACTACAATGAGGTATCACCTCATATCAGTCAGAATGGCCATCATTTTTAAGTCCACAAACAATAAATACTGAAGAGGGTGTGGAGAAAAGGGAACCCTCCTACACTACTGGTGGGAATGTAGATCGGTGCAGCCACTATGGAAGACAGTATGGAGATTCCTCAAAAAACTAAAAATAAACTTACCATATGATCCAGCAATCCCACTCCTGGGCATATGTCCTGAGAAAAATATAATTCAAAAAGGCACGTGCACCCCAATGTTTACAGTAGCACTATTTACAATAGCCCAGACATGGAAACAACTTAAATGTCCATCAGCAGATGACTGGATAAAGAAAATGTGGTATATATATACAGTGGAATACTACTCAGCCATAAAAAGAATGAAATAATGCCATTTGCAGCAACATGGATGGACCTGGAGATTGTCATTCTAAGTGAAGTAACCCAGAAAGAAAAAGAAAAATACTATATGATATCACTTATATGTGGAATCTTAAAAAAGGACACAAATGAACTTATCTACAAAAGAGAAACTGACTCGCAGACATAGAAAACAAACTTACGGTTACCAGCAGGTAAAGAGGGCAGGAAGGGATAAATCAGGAGTTTGAAATTTGCACATCTTGGGGAGTGATGGAAATGCTAGCTGTCTTGATTGTGGTGGTGGTTTCACAGGTGTATACATCTATCAAAATTCATCAAATTGTACACCTGAAATATGTGTGGTTTACTGTGCAGGAATTATGCCACAATAGAAGTGTTAAAAAATAAGTCACTGTGTAACTGAATGGTCCTTCTCCATCCTCACCATCTGTATTATCTGTATTATAGTAATGAAACATGCCAGAGTACCTGACCTCTTTGTATGTCTCTGAACATGAACATTCCACTTGCATGAGGCAATATGTGCTTAGAAGAAGAGAGCTCAGGGTGAAGGCATATCAGAGAGAGACACCATCACAAAGTCTTCTGCATCTCATACCAGAAGCAGATTTCTAGGGTAAATTCTTTTCAGATACACACTTTCCCAATTCAGAAAGCACAAGATTTAAAAACAGAAGCAAACTGAAAAGTCACAACTCTATGTATACTAAGACATCTCTATATCTTAGAAAATGACAGGAGGGAGAAACAAAGTTGGTTAAAATAACTTACAGGGATTATTTTTATTTTAAAAATGTTCAAGGACATTTGAGAAGATGGAAAGGTAAGAACTCGTTTTAGTACTGACCGTTAAATACTTAGCATGAGATTTTCTTCTAATCTGTTAGAAGTAAAGAGCCAGAAATAAATATGAAAAATGTGTGGGAAGGCAAAAAAGGAGGCCAAGGAGTCTAGGAAAAGTATGATGGCTCAGAATATCCAAAGCTGGCCTATGAGATACAGAGGAAACCACTTATTGTCACCAAATCTTCAATGAGCCACTGTCATCAATATGAAAATGCAACAGAAGCCTCTTTTGTCACCTATCTAAACTCTTCTTATCCTTTTTTAAAAATTATTATTGATAGACTTTATTTTGGAGCAGTTTTAAGTTTACAGCAAAACTGAGCAGAAAGTACAGAGTTCCCATATACCCCTGCCTCCCACCGCAAACAGCCTTCTCCACTGTCCACATCCTGCACAGCAGTGGTAGGTTTGTTAGAGCCAATGAACCTACAGTGACTTTATCACCCAAAGTGCATCATTTATATTAGGGCTCACTCTCAGCACTGCACATCCTATGGGTGCTGATAAATGTACAATGGATCTACCAATATACTATGGTACAGGATAGTATTGCTGCCCTAAAAATCCCCTGCACTCTGCCTCTTCATCCCTCCTTCCCCCAAACCCTCTGCAAATACTACCCAACAATTCTTAAAGGTGACCAAACAGACTGGAATGAGCACTTTCAGACCTCAAGGAAAGAAATCCCTGCAGAGTCTACAATAATAATGCTGGTCTTTTAGATGTTATATTAACAGCTTTTCTCCCTTTGCTACGTACAAATTCAGATTGTTGTTGTTTCTAACAAGGCACATTTCCTAAGTTATTTTCTGGGGTTTTTATTTTTGCAGTGTAGTAGCAACTCATTTTCTGACAGTCACATCCATTTGTCCTCTGCTTGGACTGATTTCAATACTTTTAAAAAAATCCAATAAGCTTTTAAGAGAACCAACTTGTTTTCCGCAGTTATCAAAAGGCAAATCTGGACTTTCGGCAGTGGCTTTTATTTTCCATCTGCACATTTTAACAATACAGCTTACAAACCTCTAAAAAAAAAAAAAACAGTCGATTTCTGAACCACGTCTCCACGCTGCTTGTTTTTTTAAAAACTGGCTAAAGACTTCTCTCCAACCACTTAGAAAATGAGTTCTCTTGAAAAATAGGGGGAAAAAGAAAAGAAAAAAATGAACCATTTCACTGAAAGCATTTGGAGCTTTGTGGAGTTCCAGCCAGTTATAACAGGAAGAAGTGATTCACTGTAATTGTCCCAATTAAGAGATAGAAAATAAAGATAAAATTTGAGCTGTATTCTATTTTCAGAAACTAAAGGAGGTTGTAAGCTTCTCGTTAAGAAAATAAATTAAATCTTATAAAAATTAAAAAAGGAAAATATTTCAAGACTTGACATCTTATGTTCTGTCAACATCCTTGCACCAGTTTTGATGGAAATATCATTCCATCAAATGATACTGCTACACTCTTCCATCAACCCCAGCTTTTTAAATGGCAGATTTTATTTTATGACCTAAGAGAAAGGTATGATATGGGCAATTACCTTTGATTTTTCTGCATTTTCTCTATAAAATTCGGCCATCTGTTCCTCCTGCTCTTCAATGACGTCCTTGAGGGTATCTACTTGGTATATCAAATTGTTCTTCTCATTGTCTAACTGTGCATTGGAAACCATGGCTTTCTTGTATTTTTCTTCCACTTCAGATAAAGACTCCTAAATGGAAATGAAAGTCATCAGCCTACTATCTAAAACATGTTCATTGTCTATATGCTACGAACATAGCAGGAGACTACAGCACCAGCACACACACATGAAGATGCATTTTTGCAAAATACAAGCAGTTTGGGGAACTCCTTGTTTAGTAACATGCACATAACAGGAGGATGACAATAAGCCGATAGTGACATTGCAAGACCTTTATGGGCTCTCTGCTATCCACAAAAATAAAATCAAGCAGCAATGTAGCCTCTGAAAAATGAAAAGGTGTGCAGACAACATATAAGAGTTATAGTATAAAAATCATAAAATGAAGAAACATCAATGTTTCCAGAAATGTCACTCTTGTGGTTTTGAACAACAAGCTATTTGTTATTCTGAATGCAATGATATAACAGAATACAGCCTTTCTTTACACAAGAAAATTGCATACTCATTTGAATATCACCACTTCCTGGATGTGTGTTTTCAGTACTTTTCTGTTCTGCACTACAATGTTGATGTAAATATATACACACTTTTTCTAGCAATTATTCAAATATTAGTCATTTTAAAGCAAGCAGTACAAAAATGATTATTTTTAAAAAAGAGCTACCATTAAATGCCTAAAATTGTATATATTTCAAAGTTACCCACCTAAAATAGCTTACAGTCTGTTTTTTAATTAATATATTTATTCTGGTAGATTACTACCTCCTAGTAACATTTTTAAACTAAAAAGAAAAACACTTCACATAGAAAAAGTCATTGCTTCTGGAAATAAATTCAAAAAATATTAATGGAAATGTTTAACAAATCAAGATCAGTGATATAGAACTGAGAGTCCAGAATCCTTACATGACCCACTGTTTTTGACAAGGGTTCCCAGACAACTCAGTGGGAAAAGAATAGTTTTTTCAGTAAGTGGTATTGGGACAACTGAGATCCACATGCAAATGAAAGTCGGAATGGTATATCACACCATACACAAAAATTAACTCCGAATGGATCAGAGACCTAAATTAAAAGCTAAAACTATAAAACTCTTCCCAAAAAACAAAGGAGTAAATCATCATGACTTTGGAGTAGGCAGTGGTTTCTCAGGCACAATACCAAACTATCAATGAAAGAAAAAACACACTTCATCAAAATTAAAAACTTTTATGCTACAAATAATACATTAAGAAAGTAAAAAGACAACCCACAGAACAGGAGAAAATATTTGTAAATCTTATATCTGATAAGGAACTTGTATCCAGAATATATAAATAACATAATTCAATAATAAAAAGACACATAATTCAATTTTTAAAAGGGCAAGGATTGAAAAGATACTCCTCCAAAGTAGGTACACAAGTGGTCAATAAGCATATAAAAACATGCTCAATATCATCAGTAATAGCGGGAAACATACATCAAAACCATAATGAGATACTACTTCAGACCTACTGGGATGGCTACGATCTATAACTAAAAAACCAGAAACAAGATAATAAGTGTTGGTGAGGATATGGAAAAACTAGAATCCTCATGCATTGCTGGTGAGAATGTAGAACAGTGCAGCTGCTTTGGGAAAGTTTGGCAGCTCCTCAAAATATTAAACAGAGTTACCACATGACCCAGCAGTTCTATTCCTAGGTAATCTACCCAAGGGAAATGAAAAGATATATCTATACAAAAAGCTGTATACAAATGTCCACAGCCGCATTATTCATAATGGCGCAAAAGTCGAAAAATCCAAATGCCTATCGACTGACAAATGGATAAAATCCACACGGTGTAATATTACCCAGCCATTATACACACACACACACCCCACACACACACATATACAGGGATGTATGTTACAACACGGGATAAATCTTGAAAACATTATGTTAAATAAAAAGTCAATTACAAAAGAGAACATAGACTAGCCAGGGTTTAGGTGTGGGAGTGGAGGAGTAGGGAATGACTGCTGATTGGTATGGGGTTTCTTTTGAGGTAATGAAAATGTTGTAAAATTGGTGATGGTTGCACAATTCTGTGACTATGCACAAAACCACTGAATTGTACCCTTTAAATAGGTAAATTTTATGGTATCTGAATTATATCTCAATAACGGCACATTATACATACACTTATTAATTCTTCACAAACCAGGAATGTATTAACAGGTAACATTTATACTAAGATTGAGAACAAATATAACCAGAATAAGGAATATAAGCAAAGTTAATTGTATTAATGGCTTACATATAGTAGGATCTTAATATAATGCAGAATTTAGAATGATTCTGATCCATCTTAGAAGCTAATAGGAAAAAAAAAAAGGTCCTCCTCACAATTCAGTCCCATATAACACAGGACATAATTGCATGAAGCTAAGCCAGTTCAAGTAGTAGCTGCAAGAACACAATATATAACATAATAAAACTGACATAAAATGTATGGAATGTATTCTTCCTTTAAACAATAGACCACAGAAGACTATTTTAAATTTAAGTGTCAAGGTAGTTTTAGTGATTTTAGTCTAACTCACATGATGATACTCATAAGGAATTAGTTACATTTAAATACGTCTGAGGCAGTGATTTTTAGTGTAAGTTCTGGACTAGCAGTAACAGCATTATCTGGGACCTAGGTAAGAACGCAAATTTTTTAACAACCCCATCCTAGACCTACTGAATGAGAAAATCTGGGAGTAGGGTCCAGCAGTCTGTGTTTTAACGAGAACTTCGTGACTCTGGATAGAGAACAGAGTGTGGGAAAAGCACTTCAAAGGCAGACATGCTTAAGAATAATGCCCTAAGCACTGACCCAGCATCCTTTTTTAATAGGATATGGATACATCACACCACTGTGCTTCAACCACCAACCAGATAATTTTTTAAATGATTTTCCTTCCATTTAAAAGTCATTTCAAGGATAAGCATAATCTGAAGTCAAGTTCAATTATAACTGTGAATCAAGATAAGGGATCTTATCTGTACAAAGTCTCAAATAACTTTAATTTGTTTTTTGTATACTACAAAGAATGCAATAAATGGTAGGCCTAAAAGGTAAGAGGAAAATGTTTAAAATCAAAAACAGGTAAGAATGCCTCTGAATTGCTTGCTTCCCTGATACATTATGTAATGTACAAGACTTTAAAATCAATGCATTTATTTAACGTACTAGATTTGTTCCCTTGATCCAAGATATCTCCAAAAGTCCTATCTCTAAAACCTGAAAAGGGGATTAAATAAATCCTGACAATTAGAGCAAGAAGACTAGAGGAGCCCATCAGCACACCAACTCTGGAATTCTGATGCCTCCTGGCGAACACACACGGCTGCAAGCAGCCTCCCGGCTCCCCTCAGGGGCACTCTCTGTAGGACTCTGGTCCCGAGTCTTAACCATATTCCTTATGGACCACAATCGCCTGCATGAAGGGTTTGGCTGGGAGCCGGGCTAAATCCAATCACGTCAGGGCAGCTTTGTCGTTTGAGCATATCCCAAGTCACTTTTCCAAATGCCTTCGTTAAGCATTTTTAGAGACCTGCTGTGTACTTCTATTTCAAATAGGGACCTACATGTGTTCAGAGAAACTTCCAGTAATTCATAATGTTAGGTTTGAACTTTGTAAGAAAACACAGGGAAGAGCATGATAATCAAGTACCATTTACAACTAAAATGTCTGCGTCACACATTTACATTGAAAATGTAGCCATCCTTGATCAGGGAAAATAAGGCCCATTTAAATTTACCTCCAGTGCCTTCTTTAAGGCACTGAATCTGTGTAACTCTTTTTGACTTATACGTTAAAAAATCAAAACAAAAAGAAAATGCAGTCCTCATGCTGCAAGGTCCTTCCTCTAGAGGGAATATTTACAATGATGCTCTCCCTCTTAGATGCCTGTTCCTCCTGTTCTTAATATTGACTGAATTTGGTGACACAAATAGGCAGTGCTCTTTCAAGCTAAAAGCTTGGAAGAATTTTAAGGTCTAATTCTCAATTTAAAAATATCCTTAGAACACTTGTTAGGTTTTTGCCCAATTCAATTTTGTAAGGCTAAGATGCAAGGGACATGTAAGTCTTTTATAAATAGGTTTTAAAACTATAAGGTATAATATCTTTGCTGAATATTCCAAAAACTGTACCACACATTTAAACATCAGCAGAGACTGGAAGTTCACCTTTCCTATGCATTGCAGGTTAAGCACATGCTTGAAGGACAAACACTGTTAGTAAAGCTATGTGCAGTGGGGTTAACGGAGCTTGTGAGACCACCGTTGCCAACGCTTCTGCGTACAGAGAGCATGCGTGGGCTGCAGAGCGGGCCCTGATACCTTTAGTTCTTTAAGCCCCTGCATGTATCTCCCTTCTACATCCTGTATCTGGTCCTTAAGTTCATAGATATCCTGCAGGACATAGGAATGAACCATTGCATAAAACCACACACAGACATATCTTCAGTCTCAAAGGATTCAGATGAAAATGTGAATTACTTTCATATATTCCAGACCAAAAGCAGAGAAATCAAAGTACACAAAGGTAACTGCCAGTCCAAACCACTAAAATGGGAACAGGCCAGGTGATGGTGGGGCTGGGGAAGGTCTGGAGTAATCAATCTAACATGTTAAACATCTTCTTGGCATTCATTTTGCTGAAACAATAGTTACAAATGAGGGTGGGGCTGCATATGGAAAAAAGCTGTATGTTATAATTTTAACACAATTTAAAAAATTGTATAAATCATTTAAATAATTTTTAGCATAATGCTTCACCTAGAACTAGTAAAATATGCAGCAAATTAATTATAAGCAACAAATTTTGCTGACTCATAGAGAAGTTTTTTTAAATGTAAACCTAGATGTGATAGAAGGCTGCCTCTCGATGACTTGGTTACTGATCACAATTAATTTGGGAGAAAGATAAATAAAGGGAGGGAAGTTAAACACAAACATTTTAAGCACAGTGTCAAATGAGAGAGTCTATCCTGAGGACACCATTTAAATGATGACAAAAGCCTTTGCTCCAAATGTTACCATAGTCCTTATAAGAAAAGTCAAGAAGCAGGTCACATTTTAAATGGAAAATATTGTTTCCCTGTACCCGACCTTGCTACTTTAGGTCTATTCTGGATGGTTGATTAAGGTGGAAAATAACTGTTTCAGGCCCTAAATATAATTCTGCAATTACAGGTAGGATCAATTATCAAAGGCCTATTATACACAGTTTATTCTGTATTATATCTCCCCTGCCCTCTTCATACCCTCCTTGGTAGGCTTATCTTTTACTCACTGAGTCATTAAACAGACATTTATTGAGTGTCTATTAGGAGCCAAATGCTAGGACACAAAATCTCATTTCCTTCAAGGAGGTCATTCTCTCAAAGAAGAAATACAAGTAAACAGCAAGCACGAGCTAAGTCTGAGGCTGGAAGGCCTCATCCTCTCTTTTGTCCCTCTAGCAAATGGCACCTAAAGGCAAGAGTTAGTTTACTCAACTTCACACCCTCAGCACTTACGCCTGGTACTTAGCAAGAGCTCGATAAGTACTGGCCCTTCAAAGTCATAGCCAGGCTGAGCTGGGTCTCCTTCTGCAGTGCCACTGCCACTGTTTCAACCCTTCCACCCTCTTCTAACCCTGTGTCCACTTTTATAAAATGCCCAAGTCACAAGACAGACTACTCCTCCTACGCTGCCAACAGTCTTACTGTCACTACCTGTCCCTACCTCCTCCTCTTCTGTGTCGTGGGAAGCAATGGCCACCCCTCACCTATCTGATCCCTGGACATTCCTCTCACCCACAGGCAGTTTGCTCTGTCAAGTTACCCCGCCTCCTCCCTCAAGCTTCAAATTCTCTCTCTACTGGCTCAATCCAGCCAATGAAAACAATAATTAACGCCACCTTTAAAAGAAAACAAGAACCTTCCCTTAACTTTCTATCTCTATCCACCAACCAACTCCCAACCTCCAATATTCTCTTCGGAGCATATTTTCTCCCTTCAGAGTTTTGACTCACTCATCTCATCCTCTTGTTCAACCACCGGGTAACTGTTCTTGCTTCCAATGCTTCTTCCATTCTGCAGTCAGTCTTTAGGCATGCAGCTCAGACAGCACCACCCCCCTATTTGATGTCTCCTAGCTGTCAGGGTAAACCTGAGCTCCTTTCAGCAGCCATACACGGTGCTTTGTGACTTGGTCCATCACCACTTCTCCACCCTTCTCTCTCACCCACTACCTGTCCTCACTTCTCTTCCTGCTCTCTGGCAACTTCGCTCTACATACACCCTTCTGGTTTTCTGAAGTTAACACTCTGAGAAAGCCTTCTCCTTCAACTTTATTGCCCGGTTAATTCTTATCCTTCCTTTACCCCTTAGCTCAGAGTTTGTCTCCTCTGAAAGCTTTTTGTTACCTCCTTCTAGTCTATTTTACATGATGCTTCTCTGAATTCCCTTCTTGCTACTACTGTAGTACCACACCACCTTGTTTTTTACTGCTTTATATCCGTTTGTCTTCCCTGTGAAACAGTGAATTCCTTAAGTCCGAAGTGTGTGTACTGCCTAAATCTGTACGGCCAGGTGCTCAATAAATGTTTAATAAATGAGTAAATGCAATTTGTATTACTACCCTTTTCCCTTTCCTCACAGGAAGCATTTTCAGCAAATAGACATTCAAATACATTTTGAAAGCGTCATTAATAAGGATGGAGACTCAACTAATGGGTTAAATGAGCTTCCATTACTGACGTATTTCTGTTATCCTAAATATTATTATACGTGTCCTATCATGAAAAACAGAGATAAACGGATTCAAGTAGCCACATAATACCATGATGGCCCAGAAAACTAACAATTCCCAGAGTCTGGTTCCATGTACAACCACATATTTTCCATTTAAAATATGGCCAATTATTTAAGAGAATTACTTTTACCTATATTAAAGTTTTTGGCATTTGTAAATTAGCAGAACTCATTCCAGTATCATCAAATGTTCAGGAAAGAGAACAGAAAAAGAATTAACTAATCTCCTTCCTCTCAGACCTGAGTCACACTCCTGAACTGTACGAACAATCTTTGTAAAGAACTCATACTTCTTTTCTTCCTACTAAGCCACATTAAACGTTGAATAGTTCCAGTATACCACCACACTACACTGAAGCCAAAAAACTGTTTCTAGAAAGCAGACCAAAAGTTGCGGTTTACCCGCAATTCACTTAATGAGGTGTCTGGATCTATTAAGCTGCTGGTGTCCCCGCTTCCTCTTCTGGACGAGTTTCCACTTAGAGGGGTTGTTGCTGAGGCAGAATTTCGAGATGAAGGCTAGAGAAAAAGAAATACAACACTTTAAGACTAGTTTCTTTAAAAATATATTTGTTGTGGAAACTAAAAGTGGGGCAGGGTGTTGGGGAGAGATCTAACGCAGTGTGGCTGAGAAGTTACCAAATGCAACCCACAGACCAAAATTTAAACTGGCTTTGGGGAGGGGGTATCCAGAAAAGGGCCCAGGCACACTCAGCGTAACTTCGTTCACTCACTTTACTGGAATCCAGAATTCATAATAACTAAGAAGGAAACAGTTGGTGTGACAGTTGTCTAAGATTCTCTTTGCTATACTGTAAACAGCGCTGGGGAGAGTGCTGCAGATTGATTCTGAATAGTTTTAGCGTGTTCTCTGTGATGTGCTAATTAGCAGTCCTCCTATTTAGTTCTTGAGGCTACTTTTTTAGGATCTTTTCTTTTCCTAATACTTTGCTGATAAAATTGGAGATACTATTTGCAACTGAGAGCAATAATACTGTAAATCACTATGAATTTAGACTGCTCTTCCCACAATTAGTTTAAATGTGAGACTATGCTATTGGATTAATAAATGGCAGAGATTTGTGCTGTTCAATCCAGCAGCCAAGTAGCCACATGGAGCAACTGAGGGCTTAGAATGTGGTTAGTCCAAATTGAGAATTTTTTTAACGTGTAATATACACACCAGATTTCAAAGGTTTAGTGTGGAAACAAAGAATGTAAAATATCTCATTAATAAGTTTTCATATTGATTATGTTTAAATATTTTAGATATTTGAGTTAAATAAAATATATTATTTAAATTAATTTTACCTGCTTCTTTCTACTGTTTTACTGTGACTGCTAGAAAATTTAAACTTACATATGTGACTTACATTTGCGACTTGCACTATATTTCTGTTGGATAAAACTGGTATATCTTTTGAGGGCATAGTGCAAAATCAACCTTAATAATTTCCCTAAGATGACTTTCTAAAAATATTTTTAGAAGAAAGTTAGAGGCTTTTAAACACAAAGCAACTGCCAGAAAAGAGTTACTTTACTTCAAAGAAGTAATTTATCTATACAAGAAAAAAAATTAACCCTCAGAGTTTGTCACTACCATTCCTAAAGACACTTCTTCATTTTCAGTGTTTAATGGCTGTTTCTCAGGATTAAATTCTAGAGGAATGAAAATCAAAAGAGCAGCCAAAAGTGTAAGAGGTGGCATTCAAGGAAATAAAATGCAATGTCTTTTCTCTTCCCAGTGCTTCACATGATTCAACCTCACAGGAATTTGGGGGGTCAAGGACAGGAAATAGATGAAGAGAGGAAGAGTAGCTCCATTAGTTAAACTGTAGTAAAATAAAAGATAAAATTGTTGTGGAAAGTAAATTGACCCTGAGAACTTAATTTTCTTAGGAATTTATATACTCACCCTTGTGTAATTTTCAGCATACTGCTTGTCAGATTTTTCATCCAACTAGAAAAGAACAGAGATAAAAATCAGGAAAGATGCTTAGCATTTTGATTTTTTAGGGGAAAAAAAGAAGCGACCTCATCTGAGTTCTCCAAGTTCAATTAATATTTGGAACCTAAAAGTAAACATACTAAAACTGAAATAAAAGTTGGGACACATAAGACAAAATGTTAAGAACTTTAATTCTTATCTAAGGAAGACATGGAGTAAGCACGATGTCCTTATGAAAAAACTTAGAACTTTTCATAGATATTCTTTTCATGGTATTTGAAACACATTAAAGAAAACTGTATACAAGCTTAAGTTTCAGCACCGTAAATGTTAATTTAAAAAGACTTGTACACATCAAAAGGAAAACTCTGATAAAACCAAAAGCCAAAAAATTTTATTATCTAAACATTATTAGGACACAGGACACATAGATAAGACTAGCACACTTAGCCAAAAGAATTCAGATTGGACTAGAACATATTAAACATATCGTCAAAAAAATTTTCCCACAGCATTAAGGATTCAGTTGTTTGGTTTTCGGTTTTGCTTTTTAAGTAATATATGCACCCATAGCAAAAAGGAAAACAAAAAACAAAAAACAGCACAAAGGGGTATGCAAAGTCAGCCTCTCTCCCTACTATACCATACCCTGACCTCCAATTCTCCCTCCAAGAATTCTTTAAAAAAACTCTAACAGGAGTGTCCCGAATACATTCTGTATCTTCTTTTTCCCCTTACCAAGCTATAGAGATTAGAGAAAGTACTTTATTTTTCTTTGTGGCATTTATCATTCCCTGACCCCAAGATATTAATCTATTTACTGTCTGATCTCTCTCTTTAATGTAAGCTCTATGTCTGTATGCTCTTTTCTGTATACCACCAAGAATAGCACCGGGCATACAGAAGGACTCAAAACGTGCTGGATGAATGAATAAGTGAATTATACCCCAACTGTACTATAGACTCGCCTCATTTATTTTAAATAGCTGCATAGTATCCTATTACCTGAACATACCATAATTGAGCTATCTTATCTTCTACTGATAGGCCTTACAGTTGTTTTAGCTGTTGTTTCAAGAAGGGAAGTACCCTTAAGGTCTAATCTAAGACCCTGACCTTATAGCTGAGGAAAGAGAAATTCAGAGGTGAAAGAACTTGCTGAGGATGAAGAATTACTAAATGTCAAGAGCTGGATCCAGATCTCAGTTTGGTGAATTTTTCACATCATTTCCCTGTATATACTATCCTAATTACCACTGGAGGGGAAAAGGTCACAGAGAAATTTAACTTAATGGCAATATACTCAGACTCCAACTCCTAGACCAACCCTCCCAGCCCAGTCTAGAGAAGAGATTTGAAAACCTTTCTCAGTTAATTATTAAAACACAGACATCATTAATTCTGGCTCACTTCAGATCTCTTCACTCTAACTTCCTCATACTTGAAAAGTTTTTTTTTTATCACCCACATTTAACATGTTCATTTTCTCTCTCGGTAAACATCTTTTATTATAAGTACTAAATTAGAATATAAGTGTTATCTCAGACTTTCAATTCTTTTTGCTACTTATTATTGCAATACTCTTAAAAAGGAATTGATTTTAGTTCATTCTGATTTTTTTAAACCACATATGAAATGTTTTAAAACAAACAGGCAATGACAATAGTTCTTAATATGGGCAATTATTGCCATAAAAAGGAATTATCTTCCTTACATCTGTCCTAGTAAAGTATATTGCCTAGTATTGACTATTTTATTCCCAGAGTGAAAGAAATATTATATCTAAATAAATTGCCTTGTTTTCCTCAGAGTATCTTCCAATTCTCTTCTACTAATGAGTTAAAGAGAAAAACAAGCAGAACATTCAGAAACATTCCTCCAGGTCCATTTGAAATTCTGTCTCTTATCCCCCTCTCACACGAATGACCCCCAAACCCACCCATTTTTTAACAGACAGGCACCTTGGAACAATCTTACGTTTCAGAGGTTGCATCACTGACCTAGTCCACCGCAATGTTGTCTCTACTGCTTTCACTATCTTCTAACAGATCCCAACTGCCGCAACCCAAGCTGATCATGTGCCAAACTTCAGGGATTGTGGAGGCAGCAAAAATGCTGCAAGGACTTGGCCAGAGACTCCTCAGTTCCCACTTCTCAGCTCATGCCGTTATGTGCAGTCTTTCATTTAGACAAAAAGCTAGTTGAAACCTGGTCTTCTAAAAGCCCCAGGAGGTCTACATAGCTACACAGAAATGACAAGCTAATATTCAAAATGATGACTCAAAGAGTCCACCAGATCCTGAAAAGGATTTTAAGTGGAATAAAATATAATCATGTTTAATATACTGAGGCATAAAAGAGGGAAATGTTGGTAAAAGGGGATAAACTTCCAGCTATCAGATCAATGGTCAAGGATCTAATACAAAACATGGTGACTACAGCTGTTTTTAAAAAATTGTTGGGAATGAATAACATGGAAAGAAATGAATATGCACTAATACGAAAAGTCAGAAAACAAAAGCTGCATGTGCTATGTAGTCACAATTCTGTAAAATAAGCAAATTAAACTGAGATAGGAAAAACACTGTCATCAAATTGCTAAGAAAAAAAGGTGGCTCAACACAATAGTAAACTAAATTATAAAACAACAGTAGCAACAACAAAACAGAAACAAGGCTTTTTTTTTTTTTCTGAGTATAGCCCTCAGGACTGGCTCATGAATATTGACCCTAACCTACTATACTCATAAAACTTTCAAGTAAGTATTATGCCATTACATTCTTAAATAATTAAATAGATAATTTTCCAATCAAGAAAAGGGTTTCCTTGATAGCTGGGATCTGAAAATTAGTTAACAGGCTCATAATATTTCATACTCGTACTAAATGTGCAAAGAAGAGTACATGATGGCAAACTTTATTGCTGCTTTAAGAATTTCAAATTTCAGTGATAAATGCCTTTGCCTTATTTATGTCTGGGACATCTGAAAATGCTACACTCTTGACATTATATTGTTTCTCTTTAAAAGGGTATATATAGCTCAATGATAGAGTGCATGCCTAGCATGCATGAAGTCTTGGGTTCAATTCCTAGTACCTCCACTGAATGAATGAATGAACTTAATAACTGCTCCCCTCCAAAAAAACCAAGACAAGGTAGAATATTTATCTTGTCAAATCTCTGAAACTGTTTCTTCTTAAAAGAAAGATATTTCTTATTCTCTGATTTAAAGGCTCTTTGACCTTAGTTTCAGCATATGGCTACTTAGTCTGACAGATCATCTTACCTGACTAAAATGGCACGATACAAACTGAATCTTTTTGCTTGGAAATGGAGCATTTTAGTTTGTGAATACATTTTAATACCATCATTTCAAAGAGTTGTTTAGAAATAAAGACTTGCATTTTGTTCCAAATTATATGTTTTCTTCAAAGGATATTGGAGATTTGATATAACTGAGCTATGCGTATCTGATGTGTAGCCACTTACAGCACATGGCATTTTGTCAACCGTATCATCTATCTTATATGATGTGTGATCAGAAGATGAAAGTATTATATTAAGGCAGTTGAATAAACTTTATTTTAAAGGTATAAAATTATAATCTAACGAAATATTTACAACATAGTTTGTTCAATATAGTCACTGGTTTCTAATCCTTTGTTAACTTCTAATTTATATGTATATACTGATTTGATAATGCTATTCAAAAATTCTGTTTGGGGGGAAAAAAAAAACTAGAAAACAGAATATCTCATTCCCCCACCACAGAAGGGAAGGGAAGAACTACTTTCAATAATCTCCTAAAGCAAAACTGGCCGAGGTGTCCATTCAGAAACGGTCCAGTTAGTAACAACCAGTAAAACAGAAGTTATTAGCACCTTTACATCCTTTTCCTTTACTCTAGCCTGACCTATGGAACAGAAAGGAAAACAACGCAGAAGAAAAGACAAGAGGCTAGACCAACCACACGGTATTCAGAGACTTGCCAAATCAGGGCCTGGCATTTTTTCAGCACCTTCTAGCTCAGAGGTTATAATCTAGCAGACTGTATATTTGTATTTAACCCACAATGGGGAAGCCAGAAAGTACCTTTTAAAATTTTGAATTCATTGTCAGTATTTTTAAATCAGGATATTTCACATAAAAATGCAGACTTTCAGTTTATCTTTTTAAAAAGTGTGTGTAGGGGGAAAGAGACCTTACCAGCACCAGGTCCACTTTTCATTTGTCTACAGTGAGTTGAATTACAGTATACCCTTTAAAAGAAATAATATTAGAGAAAATTTTTTGCTCTAGAGAGGCGACTGGCATGTTATTTTAGGCTTTGCCAAGAGGCAAAATTAAGAATATTACATAGGTACTTAGATAACCATCTAAAAATGTAAAAACCATTGGCTTATAGGCTATAAAATATCAGGGGGCTGGCCAGATTTGCCAACCATTGCTCTAGACAAACAACCTTTTGCTTATGTTGTAAGGTATACAGCATGATTTGACATATATATATGTATATCAAGTGCTTACATACATATATGATCAAATCATTACATTATATACCTTAAATAGGTAGGACTGTTATTTTAAAATATGTAGATAAGTCAAAATAACTATTTGGGTAAAGAGTTTTATCTAATTAGTAGAGGCAGGGGAAGACTTTTTAAAAACTGTCAACTGTTTCACTTCTGTGCAGTTACTAAAATAGTCAAGAAATAAATGTAAGGAGGACATACTCAGCAATTCAGACATCATATTAGAGGCTAAGAGAATTCAAAGGTTTTAAGAGAAAAGGTATACACAATAAATTAAACTGTTTATATCTATTAAAAAAAACAGGCTACTAAGCAAATTAATAAAATGGGCAATATTTCAGGGGAAGGACTTGGGAGCCAGTCTTCTAACTTCATATGCAGATTCTTTGATCTGACCCAACCAACACAAGATGTCAGCCAGCTTTGAGAGAGAGCAATCTGGAACACTTAAGAACCATGCTTAAAATCATTTTCTAGGATTAAAGTCATTCAGAAACAGTTATTTAAATACAATCAGTGATGTGTTAAATATTAATAATTTTTTCTTCATTAAAAAACTTTCTAACTTTTTTGTTAAGAAACACTGCCTCATCTGCTTCAAAGTGCTTGATAATCAGGACAGAGTTGGTCCAAGGGCAAACCACCACCAATGCCAGCAGCAAGGAGAAGGTGTCAGACAGAAAGCCAAGCTGTTAGATACACAAGGCAGGTAAATACCTGCTGGTTTGAGTTCCTTCATTAAGGTAAATGCCTCAAGGCATTACTACTGGACAAACTTTCCTAAATTCAGTTCCCACTGAAAGTGAAAGCAATGGCTAGGCATGCCTTCAAAACAACGCAATAATCCAAAAGTTCAAAGTCTATTCAGATTCTTCCCAGTTATCATAAATTAGCACCACTTTACTAAGTAGTGGATTTTATTGTTCAATGTTCAAAATTTACCTATAAGTTTATAGATTCACTAAAAACAGGGGGGAGGATTTTAAGACTGATGAGGAATATCTAAATAGGGGCTAGGTATCAGACGGTTTTAAGGAATTATTTTTTATTCAATTAGGTAAGATAATAGTATAGTAAATATGAAAAAATTCTCAATTAGAGATGAAAACTGAACTATTTATTGGGAAATGATGTGATGAATGGGATTTGCTTTAAAACAATTCAGGAAAAAAGGAGGGAAAAAGGGAGAAATAGATGAAACAAAATTGGCAAAATATTGATAACTGTTGAAGTTGCTGATGGGTTCTATGGGGGAAATTTTCCACAGAAGAAAGTTTTTTAAAAAATCAGAACTTATCAATATGTATATTTAAAAAAACTGTTATTTTATGCTAGTGTGTTCAAATAAATATTTCCTGGGCACTAAACTGAGTTCCTAATTTTAAAATAGCTACTGTGTTAGCTGTTAGTCACAAGCCTGAGACATGAGTCCCCATGCGATGCACTCACGCTGGTCAAATCTGGGATGCTGACGTCATCCACATCGGAAACGACACTCCCCCTACGATTGGAGCGACTAAAATAATCAGCGGCAGAAACCTTTTGGTCAGAAAAAAATGAGATGCTTTAACAGTTAAGAAAAGAGAGAAATAAAAGATAAGAACATTGGCATATGGAGGGGGGGATTTGGAGGGAGCGGTTTGTGATGAAGTACCATGTAACAAAACAAGGAAACTGCTGCAATTTATCTTCTCAAGAAAGTAAAAAAGAAATGTAAAGGGGTTCCTAAATGAAATCACAGCTCCCTGAAATATTCTCATCATCTGTCTTAACTAGAGTTCTGCGCTACAGAGGTCCTCTACTGCCCGAGGACTGGCATCGCCCTCATCACGAGGGGCTCTAGGACAGCATTTACCTAAGGCCTCTACTACGTTTCACAACTTTATAACGCATTATAGCCATCAATAGGTTAAGCACATATATCCTGAATGCAGAACTATCTGCATAGTATTTACTGCACTTTTTACCCAATTTACCCAGTTCTCTCTTTTTCATATTCCTCAAGATCAGGAATTGCAGAACAAAATAACGAAAGAACTACACTGGTCTCTTTCTGGTTCCCCAGACACACCTCGCCTCTTCCCGCCTTAGACTCGGGCACTGACCTCAGAAGCTCTTCTCCCAGCTCTTCAAGTGTAAGTTCAAAGGTCACCTCACTTGGAGAAGCCTCCTCTGATCACCCCACGCAAAGGGACACACCAGACACACGCCACTCAGTGTCCTCTATCATATCACCTGCTTGTCCTCTTCTTTCTCTTTTCCTTTCCTGGGTTCTTTCTTTTTGTCCCTTTCTTTACCAGTTTATTTTCTATTTCCTTCACAAGGATATAAGCCCCATGAAGTCCGACATCTGGTCTGTGTGGCTTACCACATTATTCCCAGCACTAAATATAGAATAGGTACTCCCTCCATAAACATTTGTTGAATTAATAAATAATGAATTTTTAAAAATCTCATTCATCAGCTATTCCTTACCTCAACTCTAACTACCTTGCTCAAAAACTCTTCCCTTCCAGAAAGGAGTCTGGAAGCCCATTCACAGAGATGTCTTCTTTAGGGCTTAGAAATTAGAATTATGCTAAAAGCTGATATGATCAAGTAATGGTATGTTTGTTCACAGTAACAGTAATACAACTTTGATTTACATCTATCTAATAATATATGGGTACCCACTGTCAGAATTTTAATAGTTATTTAATCCATATATTAAGCTTACCCACAAAGACAGTCATTACATCCTTGTTGTACAAATAAAGAAATCGTTATTAACACAACTAAGAGGTTGTAGAAATGGTTCACATCCCAGGCATCATTATTTCAGAGCCCCTGCCCTTTTCACTCCATCACTTTCCAAGGAGCGCTCAGGTGTCATGGACTTCTCTTCTCCTCAGCTGTAAGTATGAGCACTAACTGGCTTGCCATATGTGGCTGGACCACAACTGTCTTAATTAGATCACTGAATTTCTGGCAATGAAGCTCGCCAACTCTTGGTGCTCCTCTTCATGAAAACTTTGGGTTTACAATCTTTCATAAAACATGGCTTGTACTAAATGACTTTCTATTTTTGTTAAAGGAATTATAACCTCTTATTTTTTGGGCTTTTTTTTCTCACTCTAAGCTGACATACCATCCTCACCAATGTAATTTTTTAATCAGTTTTGAAGTATAGCAAAAAAGTCATCAGCTCTCTATGAAATTTCTTGCTTCATCAAAAGAATAACCTGAAATCATATAATCTGTATTCTAACATAGGTATTTATTACCTCTACAATTGAATTCTAATGAGAAAATTTTAAATTGTGCCATCAGCAACTCTTAAAAAATTCACAGGCCTTAAAAGATGTATAAAATGGTTAAATTTAAATACACAGTGAGGAAAACAACTAATAAATGGCAGCATTATTTGTAATCCATAGTAATGAGTTTTAAACAATGTGGAAACATTAATTTTGCTTGAGAAAAAAATTTTTGGTGAATTGTGCACACACATGCACATGCATAAAACAGCAACAAAGAATAAAAAGTGAAAATCTTAAGTACACAACAACTAGCATATAAGACGTGTTACCAGGAAAGCTTACATAGCCCATGGAGAATATACATTCTCGGGAATACATTTCTGAAGGCAAATTATTCATATAAACTAAATTTGAAGATAATACTCATTTTGTCAAGTGCAAATTCCATTTTCCAACCAACTTCATGTGATCACACAGAGCTGCAGTTCTACAACTTATCGTACGTGTTTGCATGCAAACCACGCTCACCACACTCTCCCTTCGCCCACGACTGGCTCGACCAGAAGACGCAACGCTTGCAGTGTCATCGTCGATAAACTATAGATAGTAAAAGCAGATAATGAAAAGGATGCAATTTCACTACAGGTCTCGCCTGACTGTGAGCACACTAAGTAAGGCTTTGGGAAGCACACAAATACTCTCTATGAGCATGAAAATCGGCACCATCTGTTATGCACCATTTAACCAAAAAGCTGTTTCAAGCCGTAATGAATGAATAAAAATCAAAATACATTTTCAAAAAGTACAAAGAATAAAACAGTAATTTTATCTTTTACTTAAGTTAAATTAAAGGAAAAAGAGGGGGGAGCACAAGTATACTAGCTAAACCAGTGAGGGACTTTATGCTTTTTAAAAACCTCTAGGCCCTCTGGGATCCTATCAAGGGTCAATAAATGCTTTAGTTTTGGGAGAGAGAATAAAAGAATCTTCCTAAGTGAAATAATGTAAGTCAAAGACAGAATTTCCTACCAGCAAGGACACTGAAACGATGATTCATATTTTCCTTTCTTTATTCCTATGTAACAGGTGGAGACATTTCTAACAACACCCTACAGTGTTCCTCCTGTTTCACCAGCAGTGGAAGACTCATTTTCAGTATGTGTAGGTTACCTCCATTCTGACATCACTAAGAAACCATTCTGGCATCACAAGGACAAGATTCTATACTTGATTGAAAATATTACTATAATTTTGTTTGCAAGGGACCATCACAGTTGGGACATTAAAAATGCCAAGTGGAATTTTATTCCCAGGTGGGTTAAAGTAAACTTTCTACCTATGTAAAAAAGCCTTTATCTCCTTAAACATCCCTGTAATAATTTTTCATTAACTGTAAGAGTGGAATTCTTGATAAATGCCCCTTGGAAATAGCAGGAGAACTGGGCCAAACATATACGTAAAAGAAAGTCCACACAGCTCACCTATCCTATTCCACAAAGTAACCTATGCTGACCATTAAGAAACTGCTTAATAATTTCTCCAATTTTGACACAGTCAAGAATAACAAGGTTGTTCCTAAAGTCATCATCTGTTACTGAAAACGTAAATATAGTCTTTTTGGTGGGTAATATGGCTCTCTCTCTCTCTACATATATATATATATATATACATATATACTAATTAAAACGTATATACTCTTTTATCTCCATCAGTTCATGATTAGCAAGTTACCTTGCAGATCTACTCATGTAAGTACACAAAAGTATACTTACATATGCATGTTCATTTTACAAAGTGTCTGTAGTAGAAAAAAAACTGACAACCTAAATGTCCATCAAGAAGGGAGTTATTTTTCAAGTGTACAGCCTAGACAGTAATGGAATGATACACTGCCATTTAAAAAAAACATACAACTGTGCTGACATAAAATTATCTCCAAGAGGCATTCAGTGGAAATATTAAGAGACATGGTTTACTTTTTAAAATTCTTTATTTATTTATTTATTTTGTAAATCTTTTAAATGTCAAAAAAAAAGAATGAAATAAATCTTTATGTACTGATTTGAAAAGATACACTGAGTAAAGAAAACAAGTTGAGGACCACTATGTATATGAATTATTAACATACTGTTCAAATATAGGATACTTGTATATACATAAAATACCTCTGAAAGGATATACAAGAATGGAGGTCACATTTGGGGAATGGAAATAGGGGGACAGTGTCAGAGGATTTTTACCTTGCACTTTCCTTAAGCTAATACTATTTTCATAAATTAAAAAAAAAGTTTTAATACTTCAGAAAAATTGGGTGATTAAAATGGTCCCAGTTTTGTGTTTTAGGCAACAATTTGTTAAAGTCAACTTGTTTTATTTCTTCTCCTTCCACTCCACTGCCTGAAACACTGGCAAGCAAGTGAAATGGTTCAACGTAGGAAGCAGAGAAGAAAAGGAGAAAAGGAGAAAGGGAAAGGACAGGGCAGCCAACTCATACCCTGAATTACCACCACTGCAAAGACAAGAAGTTCCACACAAATGACACATATAAATTTTTTAAAAATTCTAATGGCACTGGTTCCAGGCTCATTAAAGAAATTACATGCTACGTTATCTTCACACAGGAACTACCAATTAGGATAAATTAGTACCTGAGTTTGTGTACTGAAGGAAAACATTAACCATGCACAAAAGAGTGAAACACCACATCCTCAGTGGTCTAAACTGTGAGTACAGATTAATGAAACAACCAAAAGTGTCTATAAATCATGCAAAGAGATGAGACAGCTCACCACAGGACTGCTTCGGGCTGAACTTGTTCTTGATGAGTAATAACTGTATTCAGAAGGCTATAAAGTTTCCAAGAAGAACAGTTTTACAATAATGATCAGCTCCTTGCCCAGCTGGGAATATACTAGTGACCCTGACCTAACTTACCTTGGCTCCCAGGTGAAGGTAACTGTTACTTCTTGTCCTGGAACTCTGCCTCACTCCCACCCTCAAAGTCCACTAGCCCACGGCAGGAGGGAGAGGGGAGAAAGGGGATGCCCGAGAAGCACTATTTTCACCCCCTGCCTGAGGACTAATGAGCAAGAGAAGAGGTTTCTCTACTTATGTTGCCCTCACACTTTAAGCCTGGACTTCCAGCAGGTGCTTTCTCACAGCTTGGGTGAGAGTCACAATTGGCAAGCTGATGGATCACAGTGTGTAGAGTAATTACAGGTCAGATCAAATGGCTTTTTCTTTGTTAGGAAACTGTGCCCACCTACACATCACCCTCCTCACCACCTCCCCTGGTTAGACTTACAGTGCGAGAACCGTAAGGGTTATATAATCCACCATCATACAATGATACCTAAAGAACAAAGGAAATACCGTTTATCAATTCAGCATCAAAGTTATTTTGAAAACTTCTTTGCAGTACTCAGTTCCAAAAAAAGTTTTGAAGAATGGTATAAGTGTACAGCCTCCCAAGGTTGATAACACTCATTTACATATGCATAAATTCCTGCATCAGTCTCATTAAAACTTCAAGCTCATACTTCATTTAAAAAGCACTATTGGTTACAGCATTTCCTTTCATCATCATGTTATCAAATTAGAAGAACTAACATTTATGAATTTATTCTCTAAAAGAGGAAACAGAACAGAAAAGAAAGTGAAGTACAGAAAGCATTCTGCCCACTGTCACGACAAAATTAAGCACAAACCCTCAGGTTTCCATTATACTAGAACAGGCCACAACACAACAGCTTGAAAGTAACCAACTCACAACCTGCACATGACACAGAGCTATTGTTTTTGCTTTCTAGCCAGCTGGCTTCATCAGAACTCAGTACTAACATGGCCGAAGCCACAGCTGTCCCTCTAAAAAATGGGACATCCCATGCATGGGCAGCCATCTCACAAAAGTACGCAAGCATAGTGGGATCCATGCAAATCTAGCTCCTCTATAGGAAGTCAGTTCTAAGCAAGGGCCTCCCAACAGCCAGCAGTATCTACCACTGCAAAGAGAATATGCTTATTTTTGCTACCCTAAAGTTTTGTATTTGCAGCACAGGCAGGACATTCTGCAGTACACATAGCACTAAAGCCATGTGTCCTTGACTGTTTGGGAGGAAAGATGTCAAGGCAGAGTCAGCACCATGACAATGGCCCCACCAGGGGTACACACGTTGGAAGAGAAGAATACAAACCAGACTGGCACTCCTCAGCAGACCAGAATTTGCAATAGGGGAGGCCTATGGAAAAAGTGCATGATTTAACCCAAAGAAAAGCAACTGGTAGCTCTGAATGCAACACACTCCTCAGAAAGTACTAACCCTATTAATCTTAGATGTCGCCAGAGGATCGCTGTACAGGGAAGAAGACTGCTAAGAAACAAAAACAAAACAAATTAAGCAAAAAAAAAAAAAAAAAAAAAAAAGAAAGAAAAAGAAAAAAAGGAGAACTGGTCTCACCATTATAAGAGCAGAAGACCTACATTTATTTTATATTCCATAATTCATTAGCATTTCCCAAGTATTTAAGGTAGTTAAGTGATACATGAAGTGAGAAAAAAATTGTTAGACATCCTTTGAATACCAATTTTAAGGGATAAGAAAGAAAAACACCTGAAAGAGTTTTCAAAAAATGTGTTTAAGTCCTATTGGTCTTTGAGGATTAATAGTAGGAGATGGGATGGCCATCTGAGAAAATGCTCGGGACAAAGGGGCCATGGCTCAGGGAGTGTGGCAAACAGTGGCCACATCCCAGTCCCCAGCAGCTCCTGGGACTTACAATGATTCTTGGGGAAATGAGCTCTGAGTTACTGCTAAAGATACTTTCCCAAATAGACCAAAAATCTGTATTTCAAAAACAAACCATAGACAAAGTGCCTTAGTTTAGTCAGATAAATTGTACTGATCACAATGAGTCCATGCAGTAACAAGGCATGGCATTTTTTCAAAAGAAATTAAATCTTTTTCCTGATGTCATCTGAAGACACAATTTTCACTTCTTTTCTTACCAAGCCCAGTTAGACATGGAGAATAAGAGTATCTAAGTTATGTGTGTAGGTTTTGACAAGTGAATTATTTTAAATGTACTGTATGCCATATATTTAATGTTTTTTAAATATATGGTGTGCCAAATGTCTTGTAAAAACAAGAGATTCTAACATTACACAAATAATTACATTCTTCTCATCCCATTTATAAATTTTCACATGCAAGTTTTTATTAAAAGGGCATACATTGTGATGTGTATGAATACCTACAACTTATTCTGAAATGCAGCCCCCCAAAAAGACGGACTGATGGATGAAGAGAGGGACAGATATGTAATTATATGATAGAGAAAATTCAGTAAAATGCTAATGGTAGAATGTGAGTAGTAGGTACGTGGATGGTTACTATACAGTTCTTTGAAGTTTTTTGTATGTTAAATATTTTTATTAAAAAAATTGGGAAAAAGTACTCATTTACAAACATGGTGGTGATTCAATATTTTCATCATTTAAAGATAAACTCACACAGACTATATGAATTCAATTATCACAAACTAGTATAAACACAGCCATTCACAGATTAGTTCTAACTAGTCAAAATGCAAAATAGGGGATTAGAAACGTGTTAATGTTGGATAAAATAACAAAGCCAAAAAACTTGCGACAAACCCGAGTATAGTAGGCAGAGGTGGGTTTGCTGCTATAGTTTCTAAGACTGCTATACTTTCTCTGGTCAAAGTAGAGGCCACTCTGTAAAAAGCAAAATCAAACACAGTTTTCTTAGATTGAATGTTGTTAACCTAACAGCACACAAAGGCAAAATCTGATATTGCCAAAAGCCTTTTCCTCCAAAACAATGACTTTAAAGCATTGAATCATATTAAGTAAAAATCAAAATAACAACTATTTCAAGTCTCTCTAAAAAGACTAATATTAAAGGTTAACTGTTTTCAAGCAAAGTCATTACTAATTTTTTTACTTTAAAACCAAGAGTATAAAACCTCAAACGACGGAATGGAAATAGTAAGGGATTTATTCTCATGTCATACTTAGAAATGACCTAGAAAAGTCCAGGAAAAATGAATAATTGTCATTTTTATAGTACATTTGGCAATGCCACAGAAATTATTAAATGGTCCTTTTTTTCCAAACTCCTCCTAATTCCACTATTTATCAAAATAAACTGATCAAATTAAATTACCAAAGAGAGTATAAGCATGCACTAAATATGGTCTGGTCAAAAACATCCATGGTAGGTTCATCTTCACCACATCAAAAACAATTTTATATATTGGGATTGCTTGTGGGGGAAAAAATCATCTACAAAATTCCAGCCATCTTTTTACTCCAGGTTAAGGAAATTCAGACAATCCCTCGCTGAGAGACTGCTCCTCCACTGCTGACACTATCGAACCAGAACATCCCCACTCCCACCCCACCCCTGCCACTCCTGGCCCTGCCTTTCTGCACCACACCCTCCACGAGGCACTGTGACTCACCTCTCCCCAGAGCTCCCAATACTTCCCCCTCCAGGACCTCTCACTAATGTCCTCTCTATTCATCCTCTCCTCCTTCTTCATTTCTACCAGCCAAAGACCCCTAGCCCTCTCTCCACCTCAGCGATGGTCAGAGCCCCTCTCTTAGGAACCCTAAGTGAGCAGGGAGCTTGGGGCTGCATGTAACCTGTCACTGCTGTAGCAACCTAACAGGAAAGAGGTGTTCCCAGCATCCCAAATGGGCATTCTACACATTTTTCCCTCCACAGAAATGTTGTTCAGCAAGGTCTGCCAGAATGAAGAGCACTATTAGTTCTGCAGTTTAATTATAAGTTAAAGAGTTTTCTGCAAGACAGCATGGGAACTCTGCCATCACATACTTCATTGTTTGTACTAGAAAATTAATTTCAAGTTCCCAAAATTCGATCTATAAACAAACATTTGGAATGAAACCTATATGTGAGTTTGATACTGCCTATAATATCAAAATTAAATCAATTCAAATTTCTAAAATAAGGATAAGAATCCTACTAAACCTATTCTGAAGGCATATTCCTCCAAAGGACAGTTCATAAATAAAAACACGTTGTTAACAAAGATCATGTGACACTTTCCTAATTCTAGCCACTGGGATTAGCATATATTAACTTGATATCAAATCCTGTAAATAAAAACGAAATTATTTTTAAATAACTTTCTCATAAATTGTGTTTCAGTGTATTATCAAGTTTCAATAATGTCTTAGAAGCACACCAACACAATCATAATTCTTAAGTTTCCTAAAAGTAATCAGTGAATTTTACAGCCGCACAAGATACAGTGATGAGACACAACAGAACTAACCAGTGGGTCTTTATGAGAACCAGAAGATCTCTTCTTCATTCCATAAGAGTGACTGTAAGAATGATTCTGGAAGTAAATAGCTGAAGTTAACTTTAATGATCATACAGTGAAATTTTAAACCTAATTTAATCAAGATCATCTTAAAATCATACACAGAAAGGTCCGTGTGAGATAGAGAGTAGTCTACATGCACTCTATTTCCATCTGTTAGTAAGTGACTCACTGCACCTGGCTGGCTAAGATACACAGCCTCCCTACACACCTGCATTCCCCTCCACCTCCCCATGGCATCCAGCTCAGGGTCTAGTCAACTAGAAAACTTAAATTAGGACTCTGATCCAGGCGGAATATTTGTGGGAACCTTCACCCCACACCTCATTTGAATCTATCTTCTTTATGGGGGACAAGAGAGATCACTTTCTTCCACAGTCTTCCTTACCTAAAGGCCAAAAAGCCATCCTTTGCATCAACCAAAACAAGACTGAGAGAACAAAGAACGTAACGCTGAACTGCCCGAGACAGTACTCTTAGCCAAAGTTAGTGGTCCCACAGCAAGTGCTGCTCAGAGGGAAACAGCCAACATGGTACGCACTGCCTGAGCAGCAGCAGCAGCATTATTAGACAGTAACCTGACACGCAAGTCCTTTGAAGAAAGCACTGTCTCAATACATAGCTTCTCCAAGCAGTACAGAGCCAAATGTATGTGAGGGGATACAGGACAGCAACATTACTCAACAGGTCAAGGGTAGACAAGAAATCCAATCTAGGTATGCTCGCCGAAATGAGGCAGTGTGGCCAGAAGTGTCCTACCTATCAAAAGAGTGCTCTAGGCAAATCATCTGACATGCACACCTAGATCCTGAATCAATGATTATAAGCTTACTTTCCTTTTTGAAAATGCGTATGTTTTCTTTTATACATTATCCTGGACATTTAAGGGCTGTCTCTATGGTCTAGAAACTCAGGCAATCTATTGACATACTAACCTCCAAAAAACGTGTTTTAACTAAACTTCCTTGGCCAAAATGATGCACCATAAAAAACAAATCAAGAAAAAAAATGAGTGGACATAAGTGATGTTTCAGATGTCATTTGTCACTGCTGGATGCTTTCTGTTTAGCAACTTCACACTTGCTATCCTGTGACCCAGGACATGAAACACAGTAGGGCCTGCACTGTTGTAGTTCAGTGTGTATCAAAACACTGCTACAAGCGGGGCTTCCAGGGCAATGAGTATGTGTCAGCTGGGTAGCTCATCATTTTAAGAAAAGAGATTACTACCAGTCTTAGTCCTGAATAGAGAAGCAAAAAATTTTTATATGATCCTGAAATTCTAAGAGAAAAATTATTCAAATGTTAAGTTGTGCTACAATTGCAGAACAACAGATTCTGCTTTGTTAGTCACACATTTCACCATCAAATCTGTGAAAGAGTTAGTCTTATCTACAACTAACATCATCAGGTGTTTACAAAGTAAAACTCTACACTTAACACAAAGACATGCACTACATACTAATGATGAAAATCTTGATGATCTATCCTTGACAGCATCATACTGGATTTCAGAAAAAGGTGGAAGTTGATTGTATTTCCAAAACCAGAAATATAAAGAGAAGAAAAAGTGAAAATTAAAAAAAAATTATTAAAAATCCAGCACTATTTTAACAGCCCAGTTATTGCAGAAACCCTCCAAAATATATTCTATAAGTAAAAGGCAAGTAATAAAGAGTGTTATTACATGTATAAAAAAACCTTGTTTATCCAAATTTTATTAAGTGCCTAAAGGTATGCATTTGGTGGTAAATAATGTGCAATGGTAAAATGTCACCGTGTTGAATGACATTTCCCTGAAAATAAAGTTCTTTCTCCATAGAAATTTCACTTTCATCTTTCTTCAGTTAACAAAATATCCTTTAAAAAAAAAAAAGACCAAAACATGTATTATTCAAGCCACACATTCTTGCATGAAATAAGTTCACTGAAGAGAATGGTAATGTCTTATTTCTTCTCATCCTCTCTTAATACCAAGGGCATTTTGCAAAGGCACAGGATTTAACAAGCTGTACTGAAATGGAGCTATTTTGATTTTCCTTTTCCAAATATAATGCAGAGCTCAGCTGATTAAAAAAATTTGCTGAATCTGGTAGGGAAATCCATTATTTGGACGCCCCAATTGCTACTAGAACAACTGGATAAACAAAAAGAATCCCCCTAACACACACCAGTTAGTATTTCTGTTGTTTAAAAACAAATGATTTCATCAAAGGAGGGAGAACTGAAAACATTAAGGGCTCCAGCTAAACAAAACATTTAGAAGTTTGCTGCTATAATCTATCAAAAACAATGTTTAACTCTCAGAAAAAGATGCCTCAAAGTTTTCTTTGGAAATAAAATTTGCTAAAAGTGCAAAAACAGATTATAGAAACAAAATTCAAAGTGCTAATTTCTGTCATAATGTACCTATTACTCAAGCCCCCAGAACTCTGTGAGTCAACAGTGAATGCACAATACCAAAGTTGCACATCTTTCTGGGCTACACACCATGATGTCTTTCCTTTTGGGTGTACTGGCTCTGCTCCAGTGTGTCCCAGTTATGTCCTTTGATGGGTTCATCCATGGAATTAAACAGTAGTGAATGACAAAACACAAAGCCGGCAAGCGTATTAAAATTAAATTCATTAAAATTATACTAAGGCCATTGATATATAAATAGGAACTGATATAAACAATAGTAAAAATCTCCACCAGTGAAAAACTGCAGTGTATCCCTACTGCTCTGATGCAAGATCACCTCATTTTCTAATTTTGGACCTCTACCTTATAGTCTTCTTGTATTTCATTATATAAAGTAGTGACCAAGCATTTATAAGATTTTTTTTTAATGGTAGATTGTTTTTTTAAAGAAACAGATTCTCTCCATTCTAAACTCATGGTTTTGATTTAATTTTCCTTCCCCAAATCTGCCATTCATAATCTTGAACTATCTTTGCTCTCTTTATTTTTATACAGATTCTCTATAGCACTGATACTATCTCCAGCCCAAATAGCTTCTGGCAGGATACCTTTAAAGAAAGCAGTACCTGAAAGTTAATCTCACAGAAGGAAAGATCAAAGTCCTAGGAACGTGGCATAAAACCATAAATACAACTGTTTCATATCCAGGTACTATTAAACTTCATATACTAAATACAAGGTCCAGAAGTGTTAGACGTTTAAATATATAGCTCATAAGTTTAAAAATATAAACTGGCAGTCCATGAATGACTGAAAAATTGTGCTGAACACTGGAATTTGACACAACATTGTAAAATGATTATAAATCAATAAAAAAATGTTAAAAAGCTAAAAAATATATATATATAAACTGCCAGAAAAATACCAAAACCCCCAAATAATACAGCAAACACCAATAAAATTTAGGTGAGAGTTTTAAGCCATCACATTTGTTTTTACAGAGAACAAACGCTGTCAACTTATTCAGTTTAATGTAGATGGTAAAGTTATTTTAAAAAGTAAATAATCTGACGAAAACGTAGAACTCCCAGTATTATTTAATTGAAAGAAAAAAAGAAAAAACATATCTCAATTAAATTTCTTTTAAGCAATGTTATTAGTGAGCTTTCAGATTTATTTCCAGGTGTCTAAATATTTAAAGTGGGCTAAACGTACACTCAGACACAGTAAAGTACTAATGTCTCCTCTACAGTGTAAAATTTTTATTAATCTTTAAGTTCACATACTGATTTTTTTTTAATATTAGGAGCTTTACTCTTTTACCCGTAATAACAAATTTTCATAATTATCATAATGAAATAAATTACGGTGAGAGTTCTAGTTATACCTTAAATTTATTTAATGATATAATTTACATAAGAGGAAAATCAACCTCATTACTTTATTGATACCCTGGGTAAACAATTCCTTATTTATTCAATTTCAGATTTCTTTTTTGTTTGTTTGCAGATTTGTTTTAAAGGCTCCAAAAAAAGGTTGAACTTGGATGGCTATACCATCAGGTTAACTAATATATAATCAAGTTTCCCACACAAATTTACAAATAACCAGCTTGATAACAACTGTCTGAAATATCACACTGTGAACATTGCAATGAAAAGTAAAGGGAAAAGCCATACATTTTTAAAAAGAGGGGAGATGGGATTATTGTCAAAGCCCTCAAGCCTCAACTTTTAAGCTTTGTTTGACTAACACCCTATATAATTCTTTTCAAAGTACTTACAGAGAAAAGACCAAAACATCTCCAGGGAGAAGCGTGACAAATCCATTACTTAAAGTTTTTCTCCTGAAAAATTATTCTTAAACTACTGATTAGATTTCCATAAAGGATTTTTAATATTCTTATAAATCTATACTTTTATAATTAGTCGACATATTTATGATTCAAGAACGAGTTTACTAACTTACTCTAAAAAGACAGTAGATTACATTCACCAATAAGAAATATAACCAGAGCAAAAGACTATTTAAGAACACAAGCACATCAATAACTAGTACATCAGAACACACTCAGTTCATTATAGTGTATTTTCATACACTGTATAGGATAGGAAGAAACAAGTAGACTTTGGAAAAATTAACAAATATAGACCTTCACAAGAAAGATAATTTCACCGATGAAAAATCTAGATGTAAATATAAAAACAATAATATCAATGTGCAAATTAAAAGTACTGTTTTAAGATCTAAAGCACAATTCCTCAAGAAGAGAGAGATCAGTGTCTTGGCACAACAAACAAGACTTTAATGAGCAACTTCTCATTTATCTTGATCTACAACAATGTATGCTAAAAATCTGGGACATACTACAAAATGGTAATCAAAATGTTGAAGCATGATAATTTCTATAAATATGACAAGACAGGCATTTTTAAAATCAGCAGCTCAGTTTCTCCATGTCATAAAACTATAATCAGTCACTCAAACCCCAAAATAATAAATTTTATTTATTTAATAAATTGTCATTTTAAAAAATATGAAAGTAGGAAAAATCTGAAAGTTAGAACCACGCAGATGTTATTCTGTAAAATCAACCTTATTATTTTGTGATGATTTTCCAAAATCAAAGGTCTTTTTATAGAAAAAGAGTAAATATATATGTTAATAGATGAAAATTACAATGATTTTAGAACTGATTTACTTTTAGCCATAATTTGAGAGACAGCATCACTTTCCAATGAAAGGACTTTGTCACTACTTTCTATTTTTTAAAAAAAGGCAGAGATATATACGTTGTCACACTGTTCAGCCAATGTGTTGCAGAAAGATCAATACATACAACATTTGAAATCAAGGTGTAAATAACTTAAAATACCAACCCTGTGACTGCCAAAACTTCGAATGGACAATGTATCCTCAACTCCCTGATAAAAATAAAAACAAACATAGTAAAGGCCTGTGGGTGACTACAGGTGATGAGGAAAAGTACTAGAGGCAAGTTTGTAGGTTATTACAAACCAGATAAGGACGACGATGACTGGACCGGTGGGAATACCTGGCCCTTTCCGAATCTTCCTGGTAAAGGAGAAAGCACATGGAGAGTTAATCACTGAACAGAGGGCTGTCTATCAGAACAACCGAGCAAAGAACAATCAGTTAAGAGCACAGCAGCACCTTCACTACAGCAAGCAGCTGTGGACCACTCAAGCTCAAATGTGGAGTTTGGGGCAGTCACATGCTTCACGTGGAAAGAAAGCAGAAATAACCCTGGCAATGTTTTTATTTGAACAGGTTCATGTATGTCTGACCACTTGGAGAATGTAATCAACATACAACCAAGAGAGCTCATTACACCAAGGCAAAAATAAGCAAGTATGCTTAAACAGAAATGGAGGTCAGCTAAAAAGCAGACTTTCATCCATTATTTTCATTCTGAATGTTAGTTTCTGCAAGGCAGGAAGAAATGTTTACTTTATTACAGATGTAGTTTAAAGTGACAGTGTATTGCTTTTGAAAAGATTTGGGTTATAATTCTGTGCTCACTGCAAAAAATTTCTTTTTTTTTTCTTTCACTACTCTAACTGGAAGAGAAAAAAACAATTAAATGAAATAGCCTCTGTATCTTGTTAATATGAAAAACTACTTATAATTAAAAGAAATTGAATAAAGAGTTCATAATGTTATCCCAAGAGCTATGTCTTATGAAGACTGTAAAAAATAATAAAGAAAAAAAATTGACCACAGACTAACAGTTGACTAAATTAAATGTAACTCTAAACTTGTTCACATTCAGCTAATAGCGCTGGAGCATTAATTACTGAGTCAGGTGAAATCAAATGACTAGTCCCTGGAACCTAACCAACTGTAATTCTGATCTTTCAGAATTCCAAAGTCCAAAGTGTTCAGGTAATTTGCATTGACTAAGAATCTACACACAACCATCCAACTGGGTTCACAGTTAATCAGCACTGCTTTTTCCAGAATGAATCAATACTTCAACACCCCATGACAAAACAGCATGATTATTACACAAGTGGAACAAATATATGTGGCTATGTCTGAGCATTCATTTCAAATACAGAAACAGTAATTCAACTGAAACACCACAATTTAATGCTTTATTTTGGTCATGATCTTTGAGTATAATTCCAAAAAAACTCCTGGTTGTCATCTGCTGTGTACATAGATGCATCTGATCAAATCTGTTCAGAAGTCTGTTTATAAGCATCAGTATGATTCAATGATTCAATATCCAATATGGTGCTCTGATCTTTAGGAATCCGTTGTTGATTTACATTTTTTTTGTTATGTAATAGACACATGTAATCTGTAAGAAGCCAAGCAAATTTCTTCCCTTTCTTTGACTATCAGATGTTATATATACCACAAAAGCTTGGGGGGCATGTGTGCTAGCCCAGCAAGGTAGATACAGTTTATTTAGTGGTAACCAGTTCTATGCTACTTTGCTTGGTTAGCTTCAGGAGCCTCGTGCTACAAACGCAAGTTAATTCTACATGCCCCTGCCAGTATTATTTGGGATACTAGGGTGACATACACGGTTTAATATTCAATCTTCCCTTTATTCTATCCTATCTTTTCATTCCACCTACCACACAGGAGCATTTTTTAAAAACCTACTTCTAAAGAGCATATCCCATTAAGGATGTAGTAAAGACAAATGAATTCATATTTAGTCTCAATTCTGTCTATTACAAAAATAATTCTAAATAACAGTATCTTATTAAGTATTGATATACCTCTATGTTTACACAGCTTTTCTTTTTAGCTCCATTTAAAAAAGTGGTCTAAAAAGACTTCAGAAAACTACAGAATAAAATGCAAATTCCATACAGGCCAGTCAATTTAAACTGCGAGAATATAGTTTATTCCATAATCGTAAACTACGTCTTAAGCCAGCACTATCCAACAGAATGCTCTTTGACAATGGATATGTTCTACGTTTGTGCTGTCTAATATGGTAGCCACTAGCCACATGCGACTACTGAGCACTTGAATGCTGGAAGTGCAGCTGAGGAACTAAATTTTTATTTTAATCAATTCAAATCTAAACCTAATTACCCAAAATGGCTAGTGGCTAATGTACAAATAGTAAGGCAACCTCAAAGCAAATTTTTACTACACCAAAAAAGACCCAAAGCACATATTTTACTAAAAGTCTGCCATGTAGCACCACGCCTACATAGAAAGGTAGGTTTTTACGTAGTTTTTAAGTACTCCCCCTACAGTGAATACTTCTGCATAGTGGCAAATACGAAGAAACAGAAGGCAATCCTTGTATAAAAAGACCCCGGCACCAACCCTAGAATTATTTTTAAAAGCTAGAAGGGTCCTGAGAGATCACTCTTCATTTTACAGTGCAGAAAACTACAGCACAAAGAGACTAGGAATCAATAAAGTCAGAAAGCTGGGACTAGCATTTTTTGACTCACCAAGACCACTGAACCAATGAAGACACCGTATTACAAAGGCTAAATTCAGACTGATTACACTGGAAGAATATGAAGAAAATGTCAAGGTATCGTGGTTTTTACTCAGTGCTTTCTCCTTCTCTGGAATAACAAAAGGCTTTAATTCCCAAGATTTCTAAAGTATTTAAATTGGCAATCAGCTTTTCTTGAATTAATAGCACCAGAGGCCAATAGAAAAAATGTCAGCAAACTGTGTTTTTTGGTACAAATTACAAGACAGAGTACTCCTCTCTTCCATAGTCAAGAGAACAAAACATTTTCATTGTCCTAGGAGACCTTATAAGTATAAAGGATCCAAAGCTGAATAAACAGGACAATGCCTTAAAAGATGGATGTGTATTTGGTAAGGCTTTCTGGAAAATTATGTTTTGATACATTTAAATTAAATTAATGGAAATGAAACATAATCTGTTTTTAAAAGTTCACTGAAAGAGAGAACAAAGGAGTTTTATTAAAAAAAAAAAAAGCCCACAGCCCTGTGAATACAACCAGCCATCTTCTCTGTCAACAAATAATACTTAATTCACGTCTGGAGCCATTCCCTCAGTTTTGGTTTTTGGTTTTTTGTTTGTTTTTTGGGTTTGGGGGGGTTTTTTTAGGGTTGGTTTTTTTTATGAAGGTACTGGGGATTGAACTCAGGACCTCATGCATGCTAAGCATGCACTCTACCACTGAACTCTGTCCCCCCATCACCTCAGTTTTAAATTAGGAAACTTCAGAAACTGCATTTACTCTTTCAGGTCATCAACATGCCACTGATTCAGCCATCCAGTTTAAAAACAGAAGCACTGGCTAACCTAAGACCATTTGGAGGCCCAGAAAGACATAGGGTCTTTTCTTCTTGAGCCTTTCACCTTCCAATCCATTATTAGCACATGTGGCACTCTCTCATACCTCCAAATTCTGGCTCTGCCAATGCCTGAGCAAGTTGTTTACTTCACCAGTCCTTTATTACCTATTTGTAAAATGGAGATAGTGTACCTATCTCGTAATGAGAAATGAGCACATATGTAAAATGCACTAGCACAGCGTCGGCATACAGATATGCACTCAAAGTCAGCTTCATTCCTGAGCCTCACCCCTTTGTGTTCCCTATTCACATCCCAACATCTCACTCCCAGACAAAGAAGTACCAAAATTGGGAGAAATTTTTAATATGGGAAGATTCTTCCTTCTAATAATTGACAGTCCAATTATTTGTGTATGCATTATTCATTTTATTATAAATTTATTACTAATGTATATTTTATATTGTGACTATCACATGCCAACTTCTACTACAAGCTCACAGAAAGCAGCCAAGGAGACAAAGATAAGATAAGTGAGAGGAAAAGTCAGTCTGAAAAACCAGGTGTCAGAGGGGTTGGAGTGTTAATTATTCCCGTCTGGAAGTAAACCCCGCCTTTTCTGCATGTCCAAATCTTAGCTATTATTCAAGACCTGGGTAACTTTTCACCTGCATGTTAAGCCTCTAACCCAAATTGCTGTCCCTTCCATGAAAATCTAGCACATTCACTGCCTGAACAGCACACATTTCACAGAGATAAAAAAAAAAAAAAATGTCTATCTTCATGGCCTTTGAATATAGGAGTCAAACATGTGACTTTTACATAGGCTTTTCTTCTTATTTAATGTTCTGGTTTGCTCTAAGATGTTAAAATCCTAGGCCATTTAATTTTAGAACTATAATACATAATTAGCATAAGAAATTAAACTAATATTTCTACTTTTGCAAGCAAAAATGGTTGCTTTTATTCACACAAAACATTCTTAAGGCATCATCAGTAATATTAAGCCAGTTACATGCAGAACACACTTTAAATAACAATAATTGAGCTAGCTTTAGTAATGAGCAAGGACAGATTCCACTCCAAAGTAACAAACACACACACGAGGAGTCACCTAATTTTAAGCAACCAAGTATCTTTTTTCTCTCTTTTCTAAAATATCACAATAAGATATATGATAAAGTTTTAAATTTGCAGGTCAATACAGTCATAAATATTTTAATTCTGGTTGTACCTTAAAATGCTGCTATAGAGGGAATTTGCTTATAAAAGTTGCTTGTTTAGCATCAATTAGATCTGTTTTAGGGATCATAGACTCCTTTGAGAATCTGATGATCAAAATACCTGTAGACATTTCACATAAAGACATGCATATATTCAAAACCTTGCGTGAGACTTTAAGGTTTCATGCCCCCTCCTGCAAGCCTATTCACAACCAAGCTAAGAACCTCTGCAGCAGGAGACAGCTGGGGAACTTAACAACACTGAAAAAGGTTCAAATTTAGGAATGATTCACAGTAACTAATACTCCACTGGTTGCAATTTGCTTTTGTAGCTAACACATTTGGGAGTGGTGGTAGAAGACTTGAAAAGGAACTGAGAGAACTGAAAAAATAAAATTTTCAGAGGAGATAAAAGAATGATTTGGGTCACCTCTCAATGAAGACCCTGCTGACTAAGTTTTTAGAAAGGAAGAGAGAAAGAGGGAAGGAAGGAGAGAGAAACAGAGAGGGAGAAGGGGAATGAGAGGGGGAGAGGGACAAATTTGGAAGAGAGAACAAACCCACAGAAAGAAAACATATTCATCTACTGAATCTTTCTTGGTCAGGAGCATTCCCGAGGAGAGTATGAAGCTGTAACTTAACAGAAAATGGTCAGACTCCAAGCACACACTTGGTCCACTATAGGCACAATACTCTCTGACCTTTAGGTTCAAACATGCCAAACACTCCTACTTTGCAAACTATTAGTCAATGTTTTACTTTGCAATTGCATTATTTCAGCAACTGATCACAACATGCAGGACAGGCAATCCTGGCCTACCAGCCACTTCTGAATCTGTCCCCATTTCCGATCAAAGGAAGGATGAGAGTACTACAAATGCAAAAGTTTCATAAACTAAACAGTTTCCAACATACTGCACGCTGTCAGTCTTAATCATATACATTTGCCCTGAAGAGCAATGACTGTTAATTCAAAGTTTAGTTACACGTTGAAAATACAGAAAATTACTAAGCTAAGTATGTTCAATAATAAAGAGATATATGTTCCTCTGTAGCTTAGAGGATTATGAATAAAATTTATACTTAATAACTGTATCCTTCTAATTTACTGTAATTGTAGGAGTATAAAAGATAATACATTGCAACATTTTCACTTCAAGCCAAGAACTGCATCCAATATTTGAAGCTATATATGAGGTTAAAAAAATTTAGCAACATATCAATTGTTTTTGGTTTTGTTTCTGAGTTGTGACAATATGGACTCTATACACATCTTCTTAACCCATTAGCGGAAGTTCCAACACCAACCTCAAAGTGTTTAATGCTGTCCTGCAGGTTTTTTCCCCCTTCATAATAATACAACATCAGAATTATTTTTATAGGAATTTTCAGAGCTAGATTAATGCCAGAAGGAAAGAGTAAAAAGAGTATTTGCTTCATTTTAAAGCAATCCAATTTCTAATGCCTATTTAAAAATTTTTTGTTTTTCTTTCTGATAAAAACATATTGAAATGTATGAACTATAGAAAAGCATAAAAACATAAAACCAATCATAATTCCACCAAAGACAAACCTAAGTATTATCAATAATCACTTTTTTCCAGTAGTTTTTGACCTACATACGGATACTAGTTTTTCTGACACAAAACTGGAGTCCTACCAGGCTTATACTTGTGTTTTTCATTTTCTTATATGAATATTTTCCTCTATTATTAAATATGCTTACAAACTATAAGGCTATATGATTTTAGAGTTTTACTACGTAGATACCATAATGCAGTTAATCAAAATTCTAGGACATTTAGGACTACAGTAAATAATTTTGTCATCTCTAAGCCAACTTTAGCTATTACACATAAAGTACTTATAACACTATAATAACTTACAGCAAGGAAGAGCTATGCATGTGTTGGCTGTTACAATTGAAAACAAATATTGCATTCAATTTGCTGACATAGAATGGCTTGTTAAAATACACACATCAAGTTATTCTATTCCTAGTGTTTCAAAAGGAACCAGATTTACTTCAGAAGGAAACTAGCCAAGTATCGACTCTTTTCTGAGGCTAACCGGAAATTAGGGTTACACCCCCCAAATTACCTCTTTTTGTTGTCGTTCCAGTTCTCTCATGCGGATATCTCTTGCTTCTGCTCGGGCAGCACGTTTTGCAGCCAGCCTTGCCTCTGCCTGAAAAGTAATATAAAGACTCAGCTTTATTTAAAAACCACCACCACCACCACACCTCTACACCAGCTTTGAGGACAAGGAGCAAACGGAACAGTACTTTCCAAAGAGGGTGGGGGGACAATTCAGCATCCATCAGCAGTTTGACTGACTTCAGTCAACACCTCCTACGTACTCATTGCTCTTGCTAGTCCCAGAGTCTCTCCTGAAATCTGGGCCTCTACCTTCAGCTGCTTGCCTTCATTACACATTCAAAACATTTCACACAATTCATTATATTTCTCCAAGCTTGGCTTTTTCCATAATTTCCTTCCCTGTCAATTCAATCACACAAATTAGAAACTGCAGAAGCAGCCTCTAGTTCATTTTGAAACACTGCCAATGTTCCGCCTCCAAATATTGTCAATTCTCCACGATCGAGTTTCTCTCCAACCCATCTTTGTTTTCATTATGCTTACTGCTCCTGCTTGTTTCAGGAACTCTTTCCCTCTCTCTTTCAATTGAGATATAATCTACATACCATCAAATTCACTGCTTAAAAGTGCACAATTCACTGGGTTTTTAAGTATATTCACAAGGTTGCACAATCATCTCTACTATCTAATTCCAGGATATTTTCATCACCTCACAAAGAAAACCTGTACCCACTAGCAGTCACTCCCTATTGCCCACCACCACCCCCCACCCCAGCCCCTGGCAACCACTTATCTACTTTCTGTCTCAATGAAGTTGCCTCTTCTGGACATTTCATATAATTGAATTCATACAACTGCCCCCAAACCCATCTTCCTGACTCCAGACTCTGCCCTACAATTCATCTTCTACATGGTTACAGGATTGCCAGTCTGCCTTTCAAAACACATTTCTGATCACGTCATTCACTCTGCCATGTAAAATCCTCCAGCGGCTCCCCACCACTTATGGTTAAAGCAAAAATGCCTTAGCCTAAGTACAAAGAGGAGAGAGGACAAGAAAAGCAGAAACAGAAGTAAGTCCGATCTCCGCCTTATTGCCCAGGACTTACCGACCTCCACCAGCTGCCTCCATCACCCTCCATTCCTAGATTCTGCTGTGCTCCAGTGTTAAGCCTCCCTTCACAGACTGTTTGCCTGGCAGAAGGTAGTCTCCCTTCTCTCGTAATCAGTTAAAATACTACCTTCTAGGAAGACTTCCTCCACTCCCTCTTTCATAGAGTAGTACTCTATGCATGTACCCCTATTGTGGCTTATTATATTGTATTAAATGTATTACATGATATTCAACTTACATGCTTCTGTCACCCCACAACTTCCATGTCTCAATGTCCGCTAAATAAACAAAAGACTTTTCAGGCCATGGGCCAAAGGAGCAAGAAAATGAGCCAAGGAAATAGCTTGATGTACTTCATGAAGCTTAAACAGCTCTCTGGTTTCTACCTTATGGTGGTTTCCCAGGTTCTTGGCCACATTCTAACTCTGATTCAGATGCCCTCTCTGATAACTACAGTTGTTTTTTCCCATGTTATATTTGTGCTCAAGTCTAACACTAGGAAAAGACTCAGCCAATGTTTGAAGGGGGTCTACTGTGTGTAAGCAATTATACTAAGTGCCAAAAATAAGACATGACATCTCTACCCTAAAGAGGTTCACAATCTGGCCGAGGGAGATAAACACAGCACTTAAAGAGAAGGAAGCATGCGGGAAGGAGCAATGACTTTGCTGGCACGGTCACAGCAGGCTTCTAAGAAGATGACACAGTTTAATAGTCACTGCTTATTCAAATACCCCAATTTTGCCAATTCCCCAGTCTGTCTAAACTGTCTTTTGGTAGCAAAACCCTGCAAAGTGAACTGAAATTGACCAACCTTAGGCTCTAAACCCTGACATGGCCAGAGCAATTAGTATTCTCACATGAATTTTACATTGACCTATAGCTTTAAAAAAACCTACACTCCATTTTATTTACCCCTCTAACTATGCGTGGACACCACTTTTTTTTAACCAGTTCGTATTTTATAGAAAAAGACTTCAAGGCTAAGTAAGCTATGCTTCAGCAGATAACAAATACATTTTAAATTACAAAGTATCATTTTTCTGGGGAAAATTTCCAAACCTCTTTTTTTTTCAATTTATGAAAGCCACAGCAATGTGTAGGAATTTTCACTTCTACTATATATTGGCTTTGTACTTGTAGCCTCCCTTAGAAATATATCAGCGATGCCAATTTCATCCTTCTAAGTCTGTAGCCAATTCTGCACAACCTCTGCTAAAATGGGACTTTTCTCACCAAACCTAAAGTGTAGATCATTGAAATCTACTCTCTAATATGACTTCTTGCACAACAAAAGGGGAGGGACCTAACTTCTGTGTAACAAAAAGAACATGGGCTCCAGAGCCACACAGACATCCTTCCCTTTGGAACTTAGCCAACTTTATGCAAAACTCAGATGTTACCTCTCTTGGAGATGGTACCGAGCAGGGCCACTAAACAACAAGCTTTAAAAAGATAAAGAGGATTTAAAACTATTTTATTGGTTTTTTCTATACACTGCTCCCAGATGCCTGAGAGTCAGAGTAGCAAGCAGCTAACAGCGATTCCAATCTGGTAGACAAAATATGTATTCTATTCTTATACAGGTATATTTTTAAATAGTCAGATTATAGGTACACAAAGTATACTTCTAAGTAGCAACACTAGCATTTCCCCCTCAGAATACAATTGCATGAAAGAGCTACTGTGGACTTGTTTTAACCTGCCCTCACAGATATAAAAAGATACAACAATAAATCCACAAGGATTTAACTAAGCTCAAAACAAAGCTGGTTAAAAAAAATTAAACACAGAATCATCACTTGATCCAGTAACTCCACTTTGGGTACATACAGAAGAGCTGAAAGTAGGCTCAAACAGACATCTATGCACTTACGTTCACAGCAGCACTATTCACAACAGACAAAAGGTAGAAACAGCCCAAATGTCCATCAGCAGAAGAATGGATTAACAAAATGTGTTACGTACAGACAATGGAACATTATGCAGCCTTCAAAAGGTAGGAACTGTTGACACATGCTACAACATGGATAAATCTTGAAGACACTGTTAAGTGAAATAAGCCAGACACAAAAGGACAAATGTTGTATTCTGCTTATTCAAGTACCTAGAACAGTCAAATAGCATGGGGACAGAAAGTACAACTGGTATCCAAGGGCTAGGGGAACGAGGAAACAGAGAGTTATTACATCATGGGTACAGAGTTTCAGTAAGGATGATGCAAAAGTTCTGAAAATGGATAGTGGTGATGACTGCACAGTAATCTAAATGTACTTAATGCCAATGAAATTTATACTTAAAGATGATTAAAACAGTAAGTTTTATGTTGTTTACTTTACCACACACACAAAAAAAGTTCATTTAAAAGCTGGTATATGACATGAATGAAATCAGAAGTATTCAGGAGCCTAAATCATTTAAGTATTTGTATGGTCTTCGGGCTGATATGACACAAACTTTTAAATAAAGTTTACAGGAAAATTTAGGAACTGGAAATTCAGGTTTGTAAATTACCTGTGAAATCCAGTAGGTACTGGACCAGGTTTCTAAACATTATTCTGATCATGATGCTTTCAAATATTAGGCATGTAAAGGCTGATTAAAGGAAATAATATGTAATTGGATAGATATAGAAATGTATTCTTAGAGCAGTGAAAATGATAACACAAAAAATAAAAGATATATTTAGATAGGTTAAAATTCATTTCTCATTAAGTGCTTGGGGCAAATGGAAAAATAAAATGAAAGCAAAAGTCAGAGGCTTTGATCACCCCTGGAACAAATATTTTAGATCGTGTTAAATCATAAACCTTCTAAATTTGTTGAATGTTCACTTTATGACTCAGCTGGTAACTAGGAACCATACAATGAAAAGAGGAGAACTAAACACGTACTATGTGAGCACTTCTACATTAGGGAATGTTCCTCTACCATCATAATTTTGTATTACACTGTTTTGGAATTTAAGAAAACAAAAATATGTGAGATGCAATAAAAAGATAAATACAGCTGACCCTTGAACATCATGAGTTTGAACTGTTTGTTCTGAATCTTATACACAGATTTTTTTCAATGCTAAATACAACAATACTATATTATCCACAGATCAGAGGAATCACAAATATGAAGGGCCAACAATAAGGTACAGGCAGATTCTTGACTGCAGAGAGGGTAGGCACCCCTAACCCCCACATTGTTCAAGAGTCAAATGTAACTCCATTTTAGAATGGGCAAAGGATTTGAATACACATTTCTCTAAAGAAGATACACAAATGGCCAATTAGCACACAAAAAGATGCTCAACATTATTGGTCATTAGAGAAATGCAAACCAAAATCACATTGAGATATCATTTCATACCTATTAGGATGGCTATAGTTTTTTTAAAAATTAACGTAAAATGACTAGCATTGGCAAGGATGTGGAAAAGTCAGAACACATTTCTGGTGGAGATGTAAAATGGTGCACCTGCTACCGAAAACAGTTTAGCAGTTCCTCAAAACATTAAACACAGTCATAAGACCATCTCGAGTTATGTACCTAAGGGAAATGAAAACATATGTTCACACAAAAATCTGTACATAAATTTTTGTAGCAGCATTATTCATAATAGCCCCCAAAATGGAAACCACCCAAATGTTCATCAACTGATGAATAGATAAACAAAATGGTTATCATCCACAGAATGAAATATTATTCAGCCATAAAAAGGAATGGAGTACTGAGATAGGTTACAACATGGGTGAGCCCTAAAAACACTATGATAAGTGAAAGAAGCCAGACACAAAAGGCCACAAATTACATGGGTTTCATTTATATGTCCAGAATAGGCAAATCCAGAGACAGAGAGTAGATTATTGACTGCCATGGGCTGGAGCAAGGGGGAGAAAGATAGTGACTGATAACAGGATGGAATTTCTTTTTGTGCTGATGAAACGTTCTGCAATTAAAAAGTGGCAATGAGGGGGGAGGGT